TCCTGATGCAGAATGAGCTATTCAGGAGAGCCAAAATTCTGTGAGGGTGATATAATTTGTGGCAATGACCTCCGACACATCGATTTTTGGAAAAGTTTGGTAAGACGACTTGGAATCATTGCATTGTTTTGGACAGCTATAGCCATCCTTATAGGGACAGCTTGCGTAACTCAGAAATGCTGGAAAAAGTTATCAAGTTGACAATTCCCTTACCAAACTTGACTGCTGTTATTTAGCATTCCTTTAATTAGCATGCACATAGTATGCCTCTTAACATGTAAATGCCATGAGAACTGCTTTGTGATAGCATTCAGTTCTTATAAGGCATTCTTTGAGGATAGCAGTTTCATAGCAGCTTTTCAGCAGTTTTATATAGAGCATGTCAAAAGCCTGAATTATTTAAATGAGCTACAGCATTCAAATTCGCATGCTATGGAGAATGCTATTTCGCATGCTTTTCTCATAGCACTCGCATGCTGTGAGATAGCATTCTCCTTGTAGCATGCAAATGTTATTTCACATGCTATTCTCATCGTATTCTCATGCTATGAGATAGCCTTCGCATGCTTTGAGAAAAGCATTCACGAATGCAGTCAACCTACATACATATTGTAGCTACTACAAGTACCTTTGCAAACTTTGCATTATATGTGCTTCCACCATTAATCATGAGAGTTTCAAGTCTTAAAGTGTTTAAAAACACTGGATATTAAGACTAGACTATAAAACGTGAAAAAATGAGAGTGCTTCAAATAATGCAAAAACTTCTACATGTATGCCCTTCGAAATCTAGAAAAAATGCATTTATTTAACACTAGGTACGGTAATGCATGTGAATTCCTTTCTGAGTGAATTAATTTGATGTATAATTGTAAGTCCCCTGTGATGTTTCATCACGTTCATACATCCCAAATTACATCAATCTTGCACCAGTCCTATAAAATTTGTTTAATTCCTCGTTTAAATGTTCGATGGATAAAACAATCAACCTATTAATTGGGATGAACATTTTTATCTAGCAACAAATGGTAATTTGATGGAGGGATCAATATGTTCCTGCATACATGTATACACGGAACAAAATGCACTGAACATATGATATCCAAGATAATATTCTTGGATTTCTTTAAAGTTGACAGATTTAAGATCAATCGTGCATCGATCGATGTCCGTTAGTCCCAGTATCATCACCGTTTGTCATGTTTGTCCTTTTCTTTTTTAAATTTGGAAATATCCCAAAAAAGACTGGCTCTGAACTACCGGTAGGTCATGGTTACGGGGACTTGTACGTGTCTGCCTTCTAGGTAATGCTTGCAAAAGATAGCCTGCATACATCTGAAATTTGAAAAAATTTGAAGGAATTAACCTGTGCCAGCTAGTCTAAAGCTACAGCTGCTAATGCATTGCACACAAAGATGTACATGACATACATGTACATGCATGTATGTACTCTTGAGCATGTTGAGTACAAGTTAATTTACTTCTGGTACAGTGGAAATAGGCAACAGTGAAATCTATAGCTGAATTGGTTGATAGCATAGGGATAAAAAGTCATGTACCTTACAACTGCATCTCTTAGCATCTCACATGTAAACTTACTGTCTATGATTCTGCAGTGAAACAATTTTGCAAACTGCCATCAACCAACATGTCTTCCTTGCTTCATGGTGTAACTGCCAACTGACTGAATTCAAATTTCCCACCACGATCTGCAAGGTCAGCATGCAGTTGATGCAGCTAGAGTCCATGCAGTAGGGCAGTTGAGTGTCCACTGCACGGAGTCTGGGTAGCATACTGCTAATTATGGAATTCTTTCTGGCTTTACTATAAATAAAGCTGTTCTTGAATGCTATGATTGCTTGTGAATGCTGAGGGGAATGCTATGATGGCTTGTGAATGCTAACAGGAATGCTATTTGGACTGCTGACCATACGGTAGCAGTCCATGATTCATTCAATCCCTTGCATGCTATGTGATTGCCATAGCAGTTACATGCTGTCGGAATCATGCCATTGCAATGCTAACCAACTGCCAACAAATAAGCACATTCTGAACCAGAAATTATACTTATACATGACAAAACTGTAAGTAAAAACAGAGAAACTGTGATCAATGGAACTACAAGCTTTAAATCGTTCAAAGTGTTGTTGATAACTGCAACGCATGATGTATCACTAGCATCAAGCAATCCAGCAAGCTCCATTACTCAAGGGAACAGTGCTACCAGTGGCCTCAGAATGATTTGAAATGGGGGGCATACAGTTTTGAGACCATCAGGCAGCAGCCTTAATAGGACGATTTATCCCATTATAGGATCTGCAAACAGTTTGGGGGGGTGGGAGGGGACTGGTCCCCGGGGACCATGCTATACCGCTGCCAGTGAGTGCTACTGGACTATCAATTAGATGTCCTCCCTTCAAACTTTTTATGTACTGGCAGGATTGATATCCACCACTAAAAGATAGTAATGGTAAGTTAAAGTAAAACTCCTTGTACAAATACATGTAACTCCCGAATCCCTGAATAGCTTTGCTCATGGCCATGTGCCATTCTAGAAGTATGCAATGACAAAGGTCATATCCACTATGAGGTGGAACCACAGATGGTGTGCTTTTACATACATTGGACAGCAGAAATAGTGAGAATTAACTCATGACACTCATGATTAAATGCACACTTGGCACAGGCCAAGCAGAGCATGGATGACCCATTTCAGTTTTTACATGTAGGCCTACACCGTGTGCTCGTGAATAAGCTCAGCTTTAAAAACTACTGTACCACAAGCCTGTTTCTCCAGTGCTGGTTAGGGACTGCATGAAGCCCAGGTGGGAGAACAAAATTAACGTAGATCACAAGATGCAGATGTATACATATGTACCGGTATGTAGAGCAGAGGGCACTGTGTGTAGCAGGGCATTCATTTACTGGCACAATGTTTTGGGGCCCTCATCGAGGGTGGATCCAGCATTACGGGAAAGGAGGGTGGAAGAGGAGGGATGGCGCTGTCTTTGAGCCCCACACTGTGAAATATATCGTGAAGTCATGGACAACTTACATGTAGAGTGGGGTCTATGGCCCACTGAAGGGCACTAGAAAATAAGAGATTCCAGATCACCTGAGGTATAATCCTGGAGAAGTACTGTGAGTTTTTATCACGATATTATTTAAGGGAGACGGAGGTGGACGATGCGTGGTAATGATGAGCACAGGCTCTCTTAATCTGATCATAGAGCTACTATGATCTGATGAGCCTGGGTTGCACTCTATGAAGTGCTGTGAAACACGAGATGAGACGCTTTATATCAAAATGCAGAGGCAAGAGATTCAAATGATGTTCCATGCGCATACCTTAAGAATGGATTAACTTCAATCAGGATGAAGTATTAAAGCCTTGGATGAGAGCAGGGCTCCATCTTGGAATAAAATCCCTTCATACCCTTTCCCGGTCAATGTTTAAACCTGCCTGCCCACCACCAGCAATATTATTCAGACTGACACTCACAGTGGATCCGAGCCTATTTTTCGACCGAACTCATGTATTTGAAGCAAATACACTGTGTAAAGACTGAATCGTCAGTGTTTAAAAAAAATGTAAAAAAGGGGAGGGTTGGTAAATTTTGCACAAACAAAAACTGCCTGTCACAAATTGTTCTCACCTTACATCCAATCGTTACATTTAGGACACCCTTTCATTTCTTTTTACACTCAGTATTTTAACTCAGGAAGTCTCCATTTTGCACAACTGAAGGCTTGCAGAGTCTTCAGAAATGAGAAACCCTGACCTATTCTGGCAGTTGAACACAGGCTTAGCAAGGTCCAAAAAGGACGAATCATCACAAGTTTGACACACAAACTACATTTCCAGTCTAATAAGTGCATTAATCCAAGATCGCTACCTTTGTATCCGCCATGTGGCCTGCCTTCCCGACGGCACTGGCTGGTGCGGCTACCGGTGACGCTCCCCGGCCCAGCACACTGCAGGACCAGGCGAAGTTGCCTAGCCCGGCGCTCACGCTTGGCAGAAGGTACCTCGGGTCCACCTCCCTTCCTCATGCCAAGAGCCAAACGACGCACTTCACTACCCTCACCTGCTCAAGATTGTCAATCTGGCGTGGTTTGATGATCCACAATGTTTATAAAACTGTCACCCTGAAAGGACAATTTAAATAACAAATATCAATCATAAAATTAAATATTTATCTTGTTACTACACCGGGCATAGTTGTGTTTTTCCCCAAATTTTACAGATTAAGTTTTGTGCAACAAAGTGTGAGTCTCATTCATTTCCGGTCAGTGTTACTGTTGAGTACCATCGGCAATCTTCAAGATCCTGTGGGAAGTCTCACTTTACTTGGCCCTTTTCAAAATAATCTTCAACGGCTGCGAATGAGAAACAATTGATGGCCAAATGACCATGCTGCAAGATCAACTTAGATCAGGCAAAAACTGACAACCATGAAGATCAACCAATAGTAACGCTATTCACAGGGAAGCCAATTTTTGATTGTGTTCTAAATTGACAGTATCAAATTGACAATGAATGCACCTCATGGCACCAATTGTTTCAATCACACAGGAACGGCAGCAAGGTTCTGCAAACTACAGGTAAAGTCTATAATCTAACTTACTCTAGTTTAAATAGAAGCCAATTAATAATATAAGCTAATATGGGCTAATTTTTAAGCTTGTTTGATTACATACACGAATAGTTTGAAGTAGCAGCAAGCCTAAAAAACTTCAAGTAACCGAAGGGAAAGATTTCTGTAAGTGCCAAGCCATCAACAAATTCACCCTACTTTTCTTGTTCCCCTTGCTAATTTCCCCCAAAGATTAGCACTAGCAGTAGCACTGCAGGCACCCATTTTTAGACCTGTTCACCTGCTAGGCTAATTGTGTTCATGGCACTATCTTAAGAATTCCAAGGAATTGTTAGTCAACTGTCTTCGTAAACTTGTAACTAAGTAGTAGTTTGCTAACTAGTGCTAGTAGGTAGGTCTGAAAAAAAGAATTAGAGTGTTCATTTCAACCAGTGCCAAGCCAATTACTGCCAATACTACTACACGTAGGCCTAGAATTTTACCTGTAAAGTAAAAAAGATTACCACAGACTAGTTCGTCGTTTGCGATCAAGTCGATCTGTCGCAGATCAGCTTTTGCTTCGCCCTTAAGTTGTTTGGTATAAATAGGCCTTCGCGCAATCATCATCGTCTCATTATCGAGTAACAGTGAGTAACATGGTAGCCGGGCACATCGGTCACAAACCACACAATGACTAGAAGCAGAACCTCTCCACGGGTATTATTGATTGAGAGATTACTGCACGGTCGAGTAACCACTTGTGCACACCTGTTGTCTGGCCCACCTGAGTGCGACGTGCTGGAACAAGGACCTTGTGCAATTGTGCGAAGAACCGTTGTTGGCCAGCTGTACATTTATTTCACCAGTCCAAACAGACAAATCTTTCTTTCATTTATGTCACGTCTGATAAAAGTGTGATAAAAACTGGTTCAGATGCATATTTGTATAGTTTTAGAAGACTCCTGCGATTAAGTGAACTTTGTCGTCTTTATCGGGTATAAAAATCATTTTTGTGCCCGTGGATATTGGCGGCGCGCGTCTCCTAGCAACTGTAAACTTTTTGCCCTTCTGGATTTCCGGTTTGTGTAGAGGGCGCCCTTTATTTGCGGCACGCACGCATTTGAAAACAGTTATAACTTGGAGCTCCCATTCCAAAGAAACGACGTGCTTTTTTTTTTTAATTAAGCGTGGCATAAAATACTTACGCAAGAAAATTAAGTATAAACCGTTTCATGATTTTCCACGAAGCAAGTACATTCATTGTTTTGTCAGTGTCTGTGCAGCGGAGCTCGTTGCAGCACAGAAACGCGCGCCTTGATTTTTCAGTGCCCGTGGAGTTCTTCTGTGACGAAACAAACACAACACGTAAAAAAATTATTTCCACAGTGACAATTTTGTTATCTTGTAGCTCTCCTTATCTTGCTTTGCTTAGTTCAAACAGTGCGGCCGGTTGAACGCACACACTCATTTCCCGAATCTGGTCGGTTTTTTGACAGAGAGTAAAGTAAACTAAGAATAGCTGTGGGCGCTACGGGGGCATTCATTTGCCCGTGGATCTTGCCGCCAGCTGCCTGCGTGTCCGACCTAGGCTCGTTATTCACTTTTGGCACACCGCCCTCGCATAACTAAACTTGAACTTCGCCATGAGTTACCGCAGCAGGAAACTGTTACAAACCGGGCAGGGAAAGCGAGCTGAGGCGGACGCCCACGCAGCACTTCGGCCGATGGTAGCACCCACGGTTGATTCAGGACCGGTGAACAGCCTCGGATTTTCCATACCCATCCCAAGCATCAGACAGGCAGATATCCAGGAAGGATTGGGGGACATTACATCTCGTCTGAATAGGGTACGTTTTACAGTTTCCTTGTACAGTTTTGATTGTCCGTTTCGCAAACGAAAATCGTCTGAGGTTCTTGGCGACACAAAAACTGACATTCGTGCCGAGGTATTGATCCATAAATATTTGCAAATTATCCAATCACCTGAGACAGTAAACAGTTTTGGGCAGTCACTTGAAAGACAAATGTCACCAACATGGGAGTAAATCCTGGGGTTGGGGGATGCCGAGGGAGTATATACCCCCCCCCCCCCCTTTTAAGGTGGTGGGCTGTTGGGGGGTGGGCTATTGGATCATTCCCCCACTTTTTTGTGATGAGCAAAAAAAACACACACACAAACAAACAAAATAAAAGGGATTGTGAAGAATTTTTAGGATTTTCCAACGACTAAAATGTTTGCAGTATCACTTAAAAGGGACAGCAATTTTAAAAGACAATACGGGCGTTTCAAAATAACGCTAACGCCAATCACAATGCGAGAAATATGTCGACCCAATGCGCGTTTGGAAAGGGTCGACAGATTTCGGGCATCATGATTAGCCAACGCATTGCAAACTAAGTTGGAGGCGCGCTAATGCGAATCGCCCGTGTTCTGATGTAAGAATCTGTATGAATTCGATTTTGATACACATTACAGATGTACATCTTTGTCTTTGTCATGAACATTGCCTCCTATATAGTGTATCATGCCCACCCCCTTCCCCCGCTTTTCAAACATCCAAATTGAAACGAAAAGTGATTTTCTGGCCATTATCTTGAATTTCCAGTGAAGCCAACCTCTTCACGAGAGTCACCAGGTGGCGCTATTTCGGTCCGATTTTGCACTGTTTTCGCTGTGGGCGAGTACTTGGCGTAGCGCAACCCTAGGGTGACCTCTCATTGGTGATCCCCAAAATGCAATCATCATTTTAATTGTTTGAACTTGTATAGCAGGAAATTAGCCCTCCTACCTGGCCATGAGTTTCAGGAAATTAATGTTGTCCAGGTCAATGTATCAAATCAAGTGCACTGCAAGACTAATAGAAAACGTACATGATAAAAAAACATAATATATAGCGGCTGCACGCAGGGAAGATTATGATATAATTAACCTCTCCATTTTGGATGAAGGAAGCGATAAATATTATTCATTGCACGCAAACGAAAGGAAAAGTAAGAATCGAAGGAAGAACTCCTATTCAATCAATAAAGAATCAGAACGTGCCGTTTGTCTTTAAGATATACGTAATATTGAAACATTTCGTGACAGGCTTTTAGTGTCAGAGATGTCGGTGTGTTTCTGTGAAAAGAGCTTTCGGAAGTAGGAATGTTTGCTTTCCCGTAAAATGTTCGTTTTCTTAATAACAACAAAAATAAAGTTGTTGTGTTCTGCACTCGGTAAATATCATGTAGGTCTACTCAACAGGTGAGTTACGGGTGTTCGGAAAATTTCTCACCTCTTTACTTTGTTTTCTTTTGTTTTTGTTTTGGTGGTTTCCGTTCGTTTTGCTCACAAATCCGGTTAAATGTATACACCCACTGATTTCTGACCCTCGTAGGTTAAGAAGTAGGCTCACAGCATTTTGTATTATACAATGACAGTAAAAACGCCTGTCATATCAATCAGTTGAGTCGCCGATCACTCGTCTTGTCACTGAATTATTGGTTAAAGTGCACGGCAAAAATGCTGACTTGCAATAATTTTGGATCGACTGAGGTCACCGGTAGCCATCTTACCGTGTCGACTACAAAGGGTCTGGGCCAGTTTGTTTCACAAGGATCTGGATCTCAATGGCCGAGTTCGGGCGGCTTGTTCCCGTATGTTCACGAACAGCTCTATTTGTTGGCCGCTTGAGCTCCAGGAACAAACAACCAATTATCGCTGGTAGTTTGTGAGAAGCAACGTGCAACATGGCGGCGTCCATGTAGGCTAGGTTATTCGAGAGCTAATGTTCGGATGGGCTGAATTCTTTTCTATATAAACAGGAACATTCATTTCTGTGTAATGTGTAAATAATGTTAATTTTGCAAAAAAATTCTCATTGTCTATGGCTTTGGAAACCATCTCTCTACTTTTTGCAGCTGCTTAAAAATCAAAATCTCACGGGTTTTTCCATGTGTTCCTGTAAAACCCCGACGAGGAAGTGGTGTGTGATCCTGTTCCAAGAACAGTGTTCTTGAGTCGTGTCCCGCCGTTCGAGCGCGAGAACAAGAAACCCGTGTCAAGAAAAGGCCACCCGAACTCGACCAATCAGTGATCCCATCGCTGGTTCGCTCCGTTCATTAGGCGGGTTTTGGTTTCAGTGAATCAACGACGGATCACTGATTGCGATCCGGATCCACGTGAAACAAACTGGCCCTGTTTCACGCGTATCCGAATCGTGATCCGATGCTGGTTCACTGACAGCAGAACTCGCGTAATGGATGGAACGAACCAGCGATGGGATCACTGAAAGAGAATCACATCCTTGTGAAACAAACAGACCCACAGGTGATCGCTGACTCGCGTGCCGTTGCAACTACATGTACATGTATATACGTGCATTAATTTGGCTGTGGCTCTGAAAGAGCTCCATGTTTTTTTGTTATCTCTTATAGCCGGGGAAGGGGAGTCCCGCTCCAATAAAAACATCGGCTGCCCTATTGCCAATCTTTTTGAAAGGGTTGACAAGAGATGTCCTTGTATCATGTTGGGATTCTTCGCAAAAAAAATCTTGTATTGCTGTACGGCTGTTAATGTGCACTTAGACGACCACAGAATAGTGGCAGGTCTTTTTGAAAGATCAACGTAGGTGTAAAGATATGCATTGGAATAAATCTGTGACCTTGAGTTTCAAGTCAATCCAGTAAGGGATTTTGTTGTCACGGTCACTCATTTGTGTGCGCTGGCCACTGAATTGAGTACAACTGAAAAAAGTTAATAGGCCTATTTCTGGCCAGAAATGAAAATACGTTTTCACAAGAATGGTTCGTCAGATTTTCAGGAAACGTTTCCAAATAACTGTAAAATAACAGGACAAAATTCAATGAGCATCAGTACAATTTTAGAAAGTGGACTGCTAGCACCAGAGAATGATCGGTATGTACAAGGGCGCCACCCACGGTTATTTTGAGCCTCTCCAACTCTTTGTTCTGTTGCAGGCCCTAAGTCAATACGCCAATGTTTATGATGACGACGAAGTGGTAAGTACAAGCCGTTTAATGAATTTCTGACGTTATAACCTCCACCACATAGGCCTACCCTGATTCTACACAACTGAAAAAAAAGGATAAACGGTTGAGATTTTTTTTCACACGGTAGACCGTCAGTTGTGCAGCCTACAGATTGTCGAAAAGATCCAGCACTTGGCAAAGAAAAATTACTATTTGTTCCACAAACAACATTTTTGAACCAATGTTCACAATGAAATCGTCATTATCGACCCGACTGATCTCATGCTTTGTTGCTGGTTGTCATTTCCAAGAGCGAAGATGTGGACTGGGCTACTGAGGGGCAAGCTGTCAGCCGCAGAGTTGGGGTAGGTAACTTCACGTTATGATGAACTTAACATGCCCCGGTGGAATCAAATTGCACATTATAGGTATACTTACGAGACACAAAAATCTGTTGACTTTCTCAAAGGAGGACGGTTTGCGAATGGGCCATGTGTACCAGCTGTTCAATAATGACAAATACGAGGGAAAAAAATCACCACGCGATGAAATTGCCATCGCTTGTTCAAAGAGCACAGCATATTTTAACTTTGGATTTTCTGGCGAGTGTTATAAGATGGATGCTCACACTGGTTTTATTCTCTTCTCCCAAAGTAACAGTTAACCGTGCTTGAACTGGAAGTGATGTGTGCAGTTGGCATTTGAATAGTCCGTCCAACGACAAAAATGTCCCCGTTGTGTCATCGTCCGATTGTGACATGATAACTTTTGTTAATTCAGGTCCAGGATGAGAGGAAAGAATTCCAGGCTCGGTACGAATCAATTACTGCTCGAGTGGAGGCAATGGAACGAGAGCGAACAGAGGTTAGTTGATCGATAACCCTCCTTATTTTCCTGATCCCTAGATCACACCCAGGGCGCCAAGGCTTGACAAGAGACTACTTTTTATTTGGGATTCTTTGCAGAAGAAGTCTTGTATTGCGCACGCAAGTGACCTCGAGGCTGTTGTTTTCATTTTCTTTTACGACGTGTCTCATTTCAGGACGTCCAAAAATACGTTCAAGATACAACATCTTTCAACGATGTTAAAGATTTATGAAAAACTTTTAAGACATCTCAATATACATGTTGAGATATCTCTATAAATTATGTCCTGAAATTGATGTTGAGAAATCTCTAAATGATAATGAGGCAGGCCTATCTTGTAATACTTTGAAGATATATCTCAGTTATTCCAATAAATCACCTGATACATTTTGAGATATCTCAAAAAGGTTTGTAAGCCATTTCAACTTAGATTTGAAAGCATCGTAATATATTTTATTTAAGATGTGTTTCAAATGGTGAGATGACTTAACGACTGCATTCCATAAGAGTTAGTACAATTGGCTTGGACACTGAAAAGGAAAATAAGAATAAAAAGCAATTTTCCCCGTTCTGTCCTTGTTCTCAGTTGATGAACTCCATGGCAGAGGTAAGATTCCAATTAATTCCTATAGCATTGAAATAATACAGTGAAGTAAATGTTAACGGAAGAGAGAGTCAACGATGTTTAAGCAAATTCAGAAGTGTTTTAATTAAGGGTTTTTCTTATCAATATGACCCACACTATTCTTATTCAGACTCAATAGACACTTCAGAAAACGCGTTTTTATTTTCTAGTTTCCATTTTCTGTAAATAATATCGTTTCTTTTCTCGATATGGCGTTTCCGTTGCCATGAATTTCACCCTGCTACGATGACACCTGTTGCAATGTCTTGATATTACTTCCAAGTGGCTGGAGGCCGAACCAGTTCAATGGATACCAGTGAGTACACATAAAACAATTCGTCATCAGCTTATTATGTGTTCTGTAGAAGACCTTAGCACCAAATGAACTGTGATTCTGTTCCCAGCAGCTGGATACACAGGCAACAATGAAACATAATATTGTATATGAAACGCGTTAACAACATAGGACATGCATGCCTGTATTCTCATATAGGAACAACTCCACGGAATTGGGAATCACTTCATTATAATATTGTTTCATCAGTGCATGACAGCAAGCTTGTATTTGCATATTTGCATCATTTAACACGATAACATAATGCATCGAAGGCATCGTCTAGCCCTGTGATTTACATCAGGGAAGCTTCGTACAAAAATCCACCCTTTCTGTTTTAGACCCCAGATTCCCAGGCAACCACAGATGATTCAGAGCCTTCAAGGGCGTCATTTGGGTACGTACCTACCACCCAGTGGAGTGTACAATTAATTTGAAGGGTATAGGAAATTCGATTGGTATGCCGTAAGGACCATGTCTCTATGCACGAAGAAATGGAAACACAAAATAGTCATGAGCGAAAAAACAAACATAAAAGTGACTCTCTTGCGGTGTTACCCAGACTCACATTTTATCCTCATCGTACGCTTGAGACGTAACCTGTTCTTACTCGTATTTTCATTTGCTCGTTTGGCTTTTCCAGTGATCAGCTATTAAATACCAAGATGGAATTTGAGAAGTTGAGGCACATGAACCACGAGAAGGAGCGCCTTGGTAGCCAGGGACAGGACACAGAACTGCTCCAGGAGTGAGTTCATCTGAATTCAACATGATTGAGTTGCCGTTCAGCGCAGGAAAGGACTGGTTCCTTAAATTAAGAATGTTGGCATAACTGGAGTGGCATTTCAGGGGCACCCGAAGATGCTATTTTTTTTCAAGGGGGCACTGTTGAAGCAAATGAACTGAAGCTTGCTCACAGACTGGGTACATTTCAATATTTCAAATAGGGGGAATGGCATGGGCCCCCCTCCCCAGTTCGCTTTTATACGCCAAAGTGCCACACCAAAGATTCTCTCTCTGCTAAATGCAAACTATTTCCGATTTCGCGCCCTCTCTCCGACACATCTCTGGAGACGCGATGCTCTCCTAAAACGTGCCCCATCAGAAAAATGCTGTCCTTAACTCCATTCCTGCCATGCAATGGCTGTGTATTCTGTTAAACCTCGGTATCCGGGTCCACTTTAACGACAATGTCTCATTAACAAAATTGCTTTGGTACTGGAGAAGAGTGATACTTCGTTTGTTGCGCTTTTTATGAAACAGTGTTTTTTTTCATTTTCAGAGAGTCTTCCAAGCTTCAGATGAAAGTCATAACAAAGTTTAAAAAATTATACGAAAGTAAGTAGGAACGTAAACCGTTTACTAATTTCGCATCGTTTTGTGCTTGGAGTTGTTAATGAAAAACATTTCCACGAAGTTTCGCATCCTACACGGGTGCTCGCCTTTAAAGTTGTGTAAACCTTTCGTTGGTACCTGTCAGTGTTTACGAAAATAATCTTATTATAGAATAAGATCTGCCATGCAACAATGCTACTTGGGAAAACCCATTTTGGTCTTCCAATTTTCTTGTTTGTTCGCAGCGAGGAAGCTTGCGGCAACTCGGCGCACATTTGGCGCTCATTGGAAGCACGCCTCAGACGAGATAGTGGGCCTCCTACGACGCATTCGATCGGAGGGAACTGATCGTAATTAACTGCCCAATCTCCCAAAAGAAATGGTGTTGTAACATTATCGAGTTTCTCGGTTCTAAGCCCATCAATTGCGAATGAAGAGAGCCAAAGTTTCTTTGCATACTTTTCTGGACAATTTATGTGATTTTGATCTGCCTGGAATAACGGCTTGTTCATGTAAAAGTAATGCAAACTTTTAACAATTATCTATTCCCATCAATTAAAAAAGACTGAAGCTTAAGCACTATGTAAAGGAAAACAGCTTGAAATTATGTTAATTCGCGGTGGTGTTTCGGTAATTTGTTATAGTACTGCTTTATTCACATAATATTATATTTTTAAAAGTAGCAAAATCTGCAAGATATTTGTGTCACAACATTCTAGAGGAACGTACTCCTTTATGAACATTTTCATTTTCTTGCACTCTCAGATATCGACGCTTTGGAGGACGAAATAGAGAAAGCAATGACTGCAATACAACGACAGGCAGAGGAAATGATAAGGTAAAATCAGGGCGTACTGTAATGTAGTAATATAGATTCCACTCGACATAGGATCAGATGCTTCCGTATTCCACAAAGCTACGACCGACATTTACAGTTGGGCAAAGTGTTTACACACACTTCCTCAATTTTTCGCCGCTTGAAATAAGTTTGCCAACTTTTTCCTTATGAGGTCAGGCAAATTGTATCTCCACTTATTGTTCATAGCGTGTACTTCTATTGATATTTGATGATTCAATTGAGATATTCATTATGGTTCAAAATCTAAATTTTTCTGAAAACCGTTTGTGAAAACTTTAAATCTGCCCCCTTATTGTTGTTCAAAAACACTTCAGAAAGTGGTCCACTGCGAGTATGAGATGTGACAAAAAGTACAGAAAGTGACACTAAATATCAGGGTTGGAGTACATAACATTTCCTTGTAAATATAAATATGAATCATATACACGTGTCTGCATGGGTGTTTTTATATGATGCATACACCCTGTACAATAAAGCAGAGACCCAAGTTTCCTTGTCCACATGAAAAGAAAAGTTAGTAGGAGTGAGTGAAGTTGTGAAATTTGAGGAAAAGTGTTTTTGTTCTACCAGGTGTATGTAAACATTTTGCCCCAACTTGTACCGACAAATTACGTTACTGCACTATATTAAAGGTGCCTCAGTAGTCATTTGTTTTCTTCTACTATTTCTTTCTGAAGGCTTGAAGGGAAAATACGAGAGAAGGAAGAGGTAGGCTAATCAAAGTTCTGTAGGAAGTTTTAAACTAGTCGGTAAAGGGGTTTGCTGTACAACCCTTGTTACTAATCCCGTTTTGGTATATTCCATCGTGCATGCATAGTTTTGGCCTAAAATTGGCGAAATTTTGACATGTCGTGAGAACGCTTTGTATAATTTTCCCAATGATGCAGTCAAACACGTGACCCAAATATACCATTAGAAAGGCTGGAGGAGAGCAAAATGCGCCAAGACGATACGGAAAAATTGGGGAATGGGTCGCAGATTATGTCAAGATCAACTGTCTAAGCTTTGTTGAAATACATGAGAAACTCCAGTGAAACATCGATCTATTCTTAAAGAACAAATGGATTCTACTGTAGGCATGTCAACAGTCTCAGTTAATACGAGTAAATCTTCACTTTTTGTAATTAAGATCGCACGCGCCTTCCCTAAAACAAAGACTGGATTAAGAGGGCTTTTGGAATTCCCTGAATACAAAACGAACTGTTTGTTGTTCACTGTTACGTTTACCAAAGATGGTCGAGAAGTGGTCAACAGAGAACGCCAAGCTGACAAATGACAACCTGCTCCTGAATTCGGAGAAAGAGAAATGCCGAGATATCATCAGGAAGTTGAAAAAGGTAGGCTACAGACTTTGTCTGTTTGGGCAAGTTTTGAGAATTTTTAAAAAGCTTATAATTGAAAATACGGGTATGGCATGCAAAAGGCAGATGGTGTACATACATATGGTCAAACACAATAATGGTCACATTCGGAATCGTGAATCGAGGCCTCATTTTGCACACTGGAGACGGATTGGGAAGAATTAAATATGATGCCAATTTATTTATAATGTATTGATTTGTCTTTTTCGTCATAATGGATGTAATCATTTCGCTCTAAAGGCCCTGATAGAGGAACGACGCAAAAGAGGTACACCGACAACAGATGAAGACGTTGAAAATATCGGCGAGGGGAAAGTGACACAGGTAAAACCAAACATATACATACATGCTTCACTAATGTCTATCAGCCAATCGGTTAGTAGTTTTATATCCATACAGCTGATTTGAATGAAGCCAGAGACAAGTTGAAATGCCAGTAACGATGCCAGGCACGAGTCCACGATTAGGCTAATTACAAAGCGAAAGTTTTTGTATGCCAATGATGACAGCTGAATGACTACAGACTGTATACAGTCTGTCTCGTGCAACAGTTCTGAAGCTAACCAATTTGGGGGCTCACACGGAAGATCATGCATGCATTTTTTTGTTCATGAGTTGATGACCAGAATACGCTAAATTAGTATTTATCATCTATTAAGACATCTCTAATAGCAATTTACTTTATGAGTCCTAAAGGAAGTCTACAAGCTAGAAATAACAAGAATCCAATGTTATACAGGTAAGGGGAGGTATAGACTAATGTTGATCATTTGGTTTGCCAGAAACTCGAAGAAAAAGTCCCACAGCAAAAAGATCAACTTGGTGCTCGACGGGCTCCCGCTGGCCGGGATGTGAAAGGAGAACGCGTGATATGCCGGCTTTGCCGGCGACGGATCGAGGGTGGCGCGGAGATGGGGCGGTCCGAGCAAGCCGAGGCCAAGGCGACTGAGAGAAGTGATGAGGCGGAGCTAGTGGAGAGGCAAGCTCTTGCAGATGATGTGATCCCCGGGGACTTGGAGACGCTGCAGGAGGAAAACAACTGGTTGACAGCCAGAGTGAACCAACTAGAGCAGAGACTCATAGAAAAGGTCTGAAAACTACGAAAGTAATTTCGTCAAATGGAAAACGAGGTTTCACGACATACCTAAATCACGAATTCAAAGATACACGTCTGTGGTGTTAGTTATGGGGCCCGAAGACTTGGGGTCTACACAAAATGAGGGGAGATTGAGTTCAGTGCGGTGTACGAACGCTGCAGTCCACATCTCCACACTGGTCCACCCGAAAATACCAGAGCAGTGAAGATGCGCTCAATGTGTGCACGAAAAAATTATATAGGCCTATCGGAGGACGCAGTTTTACTTTCGAATCAGTCAGAAACATCAAAGTTGTCTGTGCTATTCTAAACGACGGAGTATTATTATATGCTGCAAGACAGGTCTCTTGTCTTTTTAAAAGCAAGCTCTCCTGATCATGCCGATATTTAGACGATGGCTGTAATGATTCGAAAACGGTATAAGGCCCTTTCCGGTGCATTGCGTAGTAATTCCCTTGAACCTGACAGGAAACTCAAATGATGAAGCTGGAGTTCCAGTTGTCCGAACTGATGGAAGCCGTGAAGACTTCATCGCCGCAGATGATCGAGACGCTGTCCATGACCGACCCGGTATCCGCGAAAGGCGTGAACCGTGCGGGGCGGGACAAACAAGCACCCGGCACCAAGCAGATGGAGGAGCGTCCGTCTGGCGGCGGAACTGATGGACGGGAGTCCAGGTACCCCAGTTGTCAAGACGGACCTTTTCCCCCCATACATGATTCGTTCGACGAAGATATTTACATGAGTACTAACAAACAGGATTTGAAGACATTAAAATTACCCACGAACAGGCTTTTCCGCAAAGTCTGAAAAGCCTTGAAAAGGGTTTAGGAAGCAAGTAATACATAGATCAAACATGCAGCTGTTCACTAGTACCACGAGGACAGCGGTATTTTCCATGTTTTGCAACAGAAACGCAGAACTTTCCTTGCATGTTCGAACTGGAACAGAAAACCTGCAACCTTGTTCCAACACCACTGAGATCAGAACTCCTTATGTTTCCCCTTATGGCATATCCTCCTTATTAACATACTGTACTTCATGTTGGACTGAAATACAGGAGGGGATAAACTGTCGACAGGAAGAGAATTCCATGGGTGTTCGATTCACACAACATAAGTGGATATTATATACCGCATGCTCTTTTTGTCCCAGCTTTGTTGCCAGTTCCAAACCAGCTGCAGGCAGAAAGACCTCCAGTCTCACAGTCCCTCGCGTGACCAAACCGTCGTCCAAACAAAGCGCCAAAAGAAGGACCGGGGAGCAACAGCCGATCAAACAGCAAAGCCAGTCAAATCTGACACAGGCTGCTGGAGCCTCGCCGCAGCGGAAAGAGCGACGCGATTACGCTGCCGAAATCTTGCAGTTGACGGAGGAGCGTGACAAGGTGCAGGGGGAGCTGGTCACGCTCAAAGGTCAACTCATGCGAGCCCAGAGGGAGCTGGTCACTCTGAAGTATGCGTCTAGCGCTCCGGCGTCGATGGGGCCGAGAGGTGGTCCACTGCAGGGGCCGGAGGAAAATGGGGGAGAACATCGCCATGACGTTCCCGGCCGAAGTAAAGAGGGTAGTGGCGTCAGCCTGTCGACGACCCAGGTAACGCAAACTTATGTAGCACAACTCAAATTGGAATTTCGACCATCAAGGGAGAGGTCTCCCTTTTAAGATCGGAGATCCCATGCAAGAGGAATTTCAGACATTGAGTTATTTCAATACGTCCCACTTGACAGATCAACCTTATTTTCTATGAAGTGCAGATCAAAGGCCTTTGCGAGTACTCAAAGCTATAGCGCTTCATTACAGAGATTGTTGCGATGATATGCTGAAGCGATTACTTCAGATCCCCGGGCAGTCACTCCAGGAAACCATCCAGGCTTGTGATAATTTCATAATCCAGAGAATTGAAATACCGGTGGAATGAGCCAGTAGCCGTCTACATGTCCGATCAATCGGGCTTTTTGATCAATTACGTCGCTCTCCCCTTATTTTGCTGTAATTCTGACTCATTCGGCATGGGCTGTACAATACACTTTCCAACGATGTATACTTCATTGCTTTCTGAATTATGACTGTGGAAGGATTTGTACTCAACGTAAGGTCTTTGAAACACTCAACAGCAACACAGCCCACCCGCGACACAACCTTCAGCTTGCGTTTCTTAGTGATTTGTGTGGACGAAGAGACACACATGATAAAATTACGATCTACGAAATGATGTGGGAGCATCCAAACCAATGACAGCATCTCCTTTCTTCTGTTCACCCCAAAGATCCCTTCCAAAACGACCACGGCACAGGAAACCCCCGCCAAGCCCAAGCCTCAGGCGGTCGTGAAGTACGATGACGAGTTTCAGGCCTACGCAGAACTCATGCGGAAGGATCAGGACAGCCGCCCGGCCCGCAAGATGAGTCGACCGTGCCAGAAGCCCAAAGACACGGGCAGAGGCAAGCAGGACAAAAGGGACCAGTCTCAGGCCAAAGAGGGTGAAGAGGAACAGGCGAAGGATCTTGTCCAAATGGAGGAGTATCTCACGTTTGATCAGGTTGGGCTAATGAAATGACTTCAAAATTCACTAATAAAATCATAAAATCGAAGAATATCTGTCATTAGCCATTTCTGTTCTCAGTACCCGGAACCACTGTATAGAACACTCGAAAACAGTGTCGTATACGTAAAAGCGAAGATGACCCCGCCCACTGCATGCCAATTAGACGCATGCCAGGAGGGTTACGCTTCTATGCATACCAAATTTTGAAAGCCGGCGGTACCATATCGTGTTAACCTTTGGTTGGCTCTTTCATTTTGTACAAAACCACCAGCCAAAAACACTGATTAAAGGTAATTTTTTTTACATTCCCTTATAGCCCTCTGTTTAAGATACTCGCCCTAGTTTTCATAGATTAGTATACACGCAAATAGTACATTTTTTCGTTTGCTTGTCATCCTATTAATTCATAAGGCTTTTGTATATTGAAAGTTTTAATGTCATATTTCATTTCTGCAGGGAATGCAGACGGACCCACAGATGGACCCCCTCGGTCAGTGGTCCTATGTACCATCAGTAAGTAACCATGACAAGCTCCCGCGAAACCACTGACCCTGTCTCATCCCCTTGCCTTCGAGTTAGACACAAGTCTTGCCAAATGCTCAAATGATGGTTTATAAATAAGCCAGTGCCCATTATTTGTTGCAGTTGGCTTCAGGGCGTTGGCTCCGTCACAACATGATTGTATTTTCTGAAGTCATCATTTATTAAATTATTTATGGAAGCCGAGGTTACCTCTCTTGTGTTAGAGATTTAAAGAAAAACACGTGTGTAGTTACTCTTATGCAACGTCACCAACGGACAGCTCTCTTCATCAGAAACCACACGTATTGTATTACACTCTGTCAGAAACAATGCATCAGAAAACTATAAGATATCTATCGGTAACCAGTAGCATCAATCTGATTATTTTCCCTTGGAAGTTGAAAAAGCGGCGGAAGATCGACCCCTTACCAGTTCTCACCACGCGCAGCAGCACCGACACACCCAGCGACAAAGCACCCATAGCCCAACCGCCCATCGAGTGGACTCACTTTGACCCAACCGGACCCATCACGCCAATGGCCGATCACAAGAGAGCCAGCATTTCCCGTCAGATGCGAGCTGGTGAGGAGCCAGCGACTGTGGACACCGGAGGCATTGTGGAATTCGTGGAAAGAGAGGTGCGCATGCCCGGACTTAACTTTGCGCGCGCGGCAAAAAGGCTCAAGACCGTGCAACAGACAAATAACATAAATGACGCCACCTTTGTTTACACGTGCGCTTTCCTATGGCGGCGAGGTGGTGCAAGATCCATCGAGACCCGATGAGAAAGCCCGTAAAGAGGGCGTGATGACATTATGTTTGCAAAACAAAGCGCTTGTTTAACCTTACGCTTGCAAAATAAATGACAGTAAAAGGTTCATGCGCAAATCAAATCAGTTCGCACAGCAACGCAGTTTAATAAAATGTGACAGGACTGCACAAACCTCAAGTTAAGGGACAAAACGACAGAATAAAAAAGGATAACTAGGCCTGCTTCCAGGAGAGTACGTGTCACACTTCTGCCATCTTCCTATTGCTCCAGTCTTCTTCGGTGCCGTTTCCTGTTGGGGACAATTTTATTTCGGACAATTTTCTTTGCCTGTATCGAATACGGCTTTTTGTTGTTGATTTTTCAATCCATCGTCGCAGCTGGGCCGTATTGTTCAAGGAATCAACGGGTTCACAGGCTACCTCAAGCGGCTCATTCAACGTGAAGTCGCCGACGTGATTGTGGCAAATCAGGACATTCGTAGACGCCTGTCGGAAGCGACACTTCGCAAATTGGACCAGGTAATCAAAAACGACAAGCGATCCTCAGACAAAGTATGGACAGCAAACCCCAAAACATTCCATAGGCCTACATCAACGATCGTTATTGTTAAAATGAGTTGGTGGCAATAAATCCTCGTTTTCCTCAAAAGCACTGATATAGGACTGCAGAAGCACTGAAGTAATTCGTTGAAAAAAAGACTGAAGTCTGAATGTCTACTTTCTGGCATATAAAAGGAAAACCTGAGACAAATAATTGTTTGGGGAATACCCATTGGATCAGGTGTATAAAAAATCCATATACATGTAGAGTGGAGTTCGAATATTAGTGTCACAAACGCTAGAGTTGAGGTAGATATTATGCGAAAGCGGGACTCAATTCAGCATGCTAAAACACGTCATCTTTAATTTGTCCAACCGTAGAAGTACTGTTGATGAATTTTCGCTTACAGGGAAACAAGGACAGCGCTCATCCGTCCGCCGACGGCGGCAGGCGCAGCAGAGCACTGGCGACCCCAATCCGAAGAGGGCGATTCGAAGTCATGAAGGACAACAGACCGTCAAAGTTTGCCGCCAAGAATGCCTACGCGTCCCTGCAGTCAGGAGAACGAAGGTAAGTGTTGTTTGGGGGAAGATTTTCAAATGCAGACAGAAGGTACTTTCCGTCCACTCAATCAGGGAAATCTAGAAAATCAAGCAATTGTTTTGGTAGCAATATTAAACCATTTGCAAAACACACTTTACCCTCTCCCTCACAAGGATATTTGTTACCTTCACGCGACCAGCACTCGATTCTACCCCATCTCTTAAGATGCCCCTTTACCTCTTGGATGTGCACCTCTGTAGGTCTGTGGTATTAAAAACTTTCATTGCATCCAAGCCTCTATAAATAGACTGTGGATAGCAGTGCCATCCGCAAATGTTACACTAATGCCAACAATATTGTTAGACCCCGATTCAGCGTCCAGTCATAATTTTCTTTGGACAAAATCTCACTGTCCTGAGGCAAAAGAAAACGTATTTTGAACCACCATTGTCATCAATTACCAACAGTATACCCGTGAGAGGTAGTATTAAACTAACGGTGACCTAGAAATGAAGTTAGTAAACAAATCAACATTGAACCTTCCAAGAAGTTAACAATATTCAATTTTGTTTTCATAAAAGATTTTTCCATTCAGCCTCGCCAATCCCTTCGTGGAATATTCATTCCAAAATACCGTCGCCTTCGTATGGTAAGACCCACAATGGCACCAGTTATTGTGTTCATATTTCAGATATTTCACATAAAGGAAAATGTAAAGAAACATCTGTCGTTGTTGAACTTCAGAAATATGGAAAAGTTGCAATTATATTACGTTTTTCTATATTTAATGCTCATGCTTAGTCAATTTATGTGATTTTAAAAAGTGTTTTTCATCTTATTTTACTCAAATGAGAGAGACAAAGCCATTTCTTCGATAGCCAAACTTAGATACCTAGGAAAGTGAAATATTTATTTTTAGTACAATTCAATCGTCTCTCTCCTTAGGTACTTAAGACCAAACCGCGGTAGTGTTGAGGTTTGTTAGTGCGGCAGATTTACGCCTAATGATATGCCTAACCCCACTCATTAGTTTTTCAATGATTGGCCAAAGCAGCAGACTACATCGGTCCCTGGAGCACTTTTGCTCGTGATCACATCGCAATGGCGGACGAGGCAGCGACGCAGAGAACACTGGCAAGCCCGCACGACACCGTCTGTGTCCGCCTGCAACGCCAGATCGAAATGATCGGACACCATGCCATAGATGTGCTTAAAGGGACGGTCGTGTTCTTCAAAGAAACCTTCACGCGCCAGGTATAAACACATAGAGCAAACGCTGCTGGAAGTCTGCAAGGGGCTCTACGAGTTTGCGTGTTACGACGTTCTTTTGAGGCAATATTTCAAGTTAATACAAATTGAATTCAAGGGATTAAGCCATCTAGAGTGCGATATTAAGACTTAGTAATATTGTAATTAAGACTTAGTATTGTTGAATCCATGAAAATGCACATCCGGGAAAGGAACAACTACGGAAGTCCCATATCCAGAAAACTTTGTTATAATACGCTTTCACTTTCTTGTATTAACCTTCAGTGTGAATGCCACGCCTTCCATTTTTAGAGGCCAGCCAATTAACTTTGAAATCTAATAGAATAATATGGTGTTCGGGTAAAATAGCTCCACATTTGAACGTGCGTGTAAGGATTTGTCCAAGGTACTTAGTGATCAGGCAAGTATTAAAAACGTCTTGGAGTGAAGTCAGAGGCTGCAACGAAACAAACACATTTGTGGTTTTTTTTGGTGACTGAGGCTGACGTATTCCTACATTGACACAGGTTCACCATTCTTCAGTTAAATGATCATAATTCATATCTTTTTTAAATTGAAAATTAGATCGAGGAATACAACACAATCCACGGCGCCTTTGGCATCCGCCAGGAACTGAAAACTCTCATGGCGCCATCAGTGACACCGAGTGAAAATAGAGACGGCATCACAGATTCTAGGAAAGAGGTTAGGACAAATCGAATCTGAAGTGGCCTCACGCAAAAAAAGGATGTCAATCGCTGTCTAGAGCTCAGGAGCATAGGGACATGGCCGGATTATTCAATAGGCAGAGTATATACTTTAGGCACTGTGTTTTACAAAATACTCGAGAGTCTGTATGGAGACACTGTGGTGGCCCCAAACACGCTCCCATCCACACCAGTAAATCCCCGTAACACGTAAGATTTGTACTTTCCAGCAGATCTCTGTAGCTTTTAATTTGGAAGACAGAAACTGGCTGGTATCAGCACATAGCTTATAGTCCAACATTGGAATTAGCATGCAATGTGAGGCTACCAGCTTTTACTGGCGTTCGAAACACGCTGAACAACAGGGTCTATAGGTCAGAGTAATAAGACGCGGCCCTGGTGCCTTTAGCATGCCGATGAAACAGTGAATCCGGCCGGCTTGGCATCAGTAAATCCAAAGGGTTTCTTGTGGAATATCCATCCCTTTCATTAGTAGAAAGCTTCCCTATATAAGCAGTCAGCACTCCTTTAAGGTTACTTGGCGTCTGCTGGTACATGACATAGCTGTTATAAATAGTTTTCCATATAAATAAACCCTCTTTGCGGCAACTTCTTTTGTGTTCAGGTGGCTGAGGCAGAAGCTACCAGTGATCGGGCTGAAGTCCCATCTCTCGAGCCTCCACTCAAGCTGACACGATCCATCTCACACAACAGCTTCCTTGAAGTAAGAAATTCACTGCTGTACAAAGCACGAAATTCACAGGCCCTCAAAAAGTGCCCCAGGTCGCCCTCAACTGTGCAAAATGTCACTAATGTACAAGTCTGAAGTCACAGCTGTTTTAATTGGTTAAGATGACATCTACTATTTTTGGTAGATCAAAATTCTGCCAGCAAATTATTTCAAACTTGAGTTTTGGATATCTGTTGTGTTAATACCAAAGTTTAGTATATTATGTACTGCCCTTGGCCCATTTTGAGAGATTTTGAAGGAAGGACTTTGAATGTCTCTTTCTTTTCCGACTGTGAGGTGCCCCAATCAGCAAAGTTTTATTACGGGAGCAAACTGAACCTCACATTACTTTTCATTTCTGTCCAGCACTGCGTGTCATGATAGAATAAGTATAGGGGAAATTAGCAAATATGTCGCACACGTTATGCACCTTGTCTTGAACCTTATTTACTCCCTAGCTTGAAAAAAATCAGTTTGTATAAATCATGTTGTTGAGCACCATATTCAAAATTGTACGCGAGAAACTCTGACACTGGACGATTCGTCCGTTACAGTTCCGTAACGTCAACTATGTCCAGGACAACAGACGCGTAGACTTCAAGACCTCGCCAAAAGAATACCCTTTGCAAACACAATCGCTGAGCTCCATCCAGGTAACGAGGTTTGATTAGTTGCAAATCGTACTTTCTCTACGAAATCAGATCTTCACACAACAGGCAGCTTGGAGGAAATAATGTAGGCTCTGTGCATTCAAAAATCAACCAGTTCAAAAAAAATCAAACCAAAACAACAACAAAATCATGGCTGAGTATTCAGGGAGAAACGAAGGGGTACTTACAGTATGACGTCTTTTAACTTACTACAGATAAACAGCAGTTTTCAGTAGTTGTATTCCGCATGGTGAGAACAAAGCACCAACAAACAGACCAAGCTCTGACACAACGAAACTGCGCACGATGTTCAGACAGTTGATGTGTATGTCAGGAGCACGATCTTCAATTCTACTCAAAACATTATTTATTTCTGGTAATGACATCAAGGATTCCTCAAAAGTGCCCCAGGAATTGTAGCTTGCAAGCCTGTAGAAGCTTGTAGAGAAGAGACAATGAGAAGCAGTTATAGTTTTAGAGGTGGGAGAAAAACCCCAGTCGAATAGGTCTATTCTGGGTAAAAACCCACGGAATGAACTGAAAACCCAATCCACATGTGGACTAAACCGGGAATCGAACCCGGACCGCAGAGGTGGAAGGCGAGGAAAGGACCACTACGCCAACCCGACTCCACGACTTTTCCACACCAACTATCTCAGAATGCTGTTAACTGTCCCGACAACAGAAGTTTGGTATCGAAATGATATTTTGAGCTTAACACGCACAAAATGGTCTACACACTGCAGAGTTCACATCGCTACCTGCCAGCCCTTTCGTTGTACGAGAAACAAAAGCCGAGGAACAGATATGAGGTAGAACTACCCAAAGCAACACTACCAAGGCGAGGACTGGTGACTTTGGAGGTCAAAGACGCTGTGGCTAATATGGCAGCTAAAGGTATCCACCTCATGACAACACCTACAAAATATCGATAAAACACGGATGCTTCCGGAGGAGGTATGCACTATCCCCATTAGACCTGTAAACGGGGCCCTCTGTATCCCTCTTGATAGGCCTACTGTGAGGAGCATTAAAGAGCCCTGTTTCCAGGTCTATATCCCCATAATCACTGGTTCTTACCAAATGTGCGTTCTTTTAGCGTTGGTGTTAGTAAGTAAATGTTGGTGTTCAGTGAACCCGATCATCAATCTTACCGTAAACGATAAATGTCTTCTGCCTACCAAATAGACCTTACCTCCGACAGCCATCCCGGACTCACGCGACGCTGTAACTGCCCACTGAAATCCTCAAGCTTTTAAAACCTGAAAACCTTTGCTGTCGGCGCTGGGTATGAACAGACGGTTCCCTAGAAAAAATCACGCACTTACCAAATGGTCTGCAAACGGTGTACCTGACACACGGGCCAGTGTGTTCCAGCCGTCATGCTGAGGCGATCATATACATGTTTTATTCAAAATGGACCATGTCTTTTTCATGATGTGACGAGACAAACAGTTTAAGGTTGGCCTCCATAAATGTGCACTTGCAACCAAGCATTTCGCTATATGCCAGGTCACACTGGTCCCAGTTTGCACTCCCCTATGAGCAAAACCTCGGTTGGTTTTTAAATTCAAGTATGCCGACTGCATGATTTTGTCTGTCACTTACCAGGAGTTGACACTAAACGCCGCTCCCGTCCAGTAGCCATTTCCCATCGTGGGCTTCTTGCTCGTCAGCGAGAGATACTAGCCAAACAAGGCACCACGCCCCAAGACGCACGAAAACAAGGCACTGACCACTTGACTACCACCCTGGAATTAAAACAGCACATTCTTCAACTCCAGGTGTGTACACTGACCGGATTTGAACAAGTGAAGCGATACACTGTGAAGTGTAATAATGACGTTAAAAAGGAAGTTGTGAGGGAAGAGCATTTGGAATCAAAAGCGTGTTATACCGATGAACCTTTAATACGGAAGTGAATGCAGAAGTGGCATGCTTACATTGAAAATAAAAGGCTTGGCACCAACTTAAGAGTTTTAGATACTCGCCCATTGCATCCAATACATTTCAAAAGTATGAAACGCTAATAACTTAATGAGCCATTAACACTTTGATATAATCTGTTCTTTAGACGTCACGGTCATGCTTTTCCTGCAAGTGGCTGCTAAAACTATGGCTGGCCATCAATACAAAAGTAAAAGAATAATTCACAAAGTATTAAATATCCCACCTAGCTATCTGACCACAAGTAATAATATGCATACTAAATGAAAATACTTTTTAAAATTAATGGTTCAAATGCCCATTTTGAACGAATTTGAGGTAAAATTGAAAACCAACAAAAATGTGACATTTCTGCATACTTTTGCCGCCTAAGTTACAGGAAAAATGAGAGTGGTCTAGATACAACAAAGCACTCTCTCCCAGACTTTTACAAATTTTGGCAGTCAGATTATTAGCACAAGTGGCATTCCCTCACCTTCCACCTGCCAAGCGGTGATACCTGTTATCATGAAACGATCCTATACAGACCAAAGGTAAATTTTTGTGTCGTCTAAGGCCAATCAGCTGTATCAGAACACCGAGCAGAACAGCCTTCCCACGGTAGAACTTGAGGCAGACAACAGAAAGAACCTCCCGCCCTTGGACAACGAACGCCGGCGTATTATCATCCATGCCCAGGACCAACTGCGAGGCACGGTGCAACTATGGGATAAATACGCGGGCCTCCTCTCAGATGGGCGTAGTCCAGAATAAGTCTCTGAAAAAAGCGTTGGAATTACTTGGCTACACGACCGGCAACGACGCATGTTAGTGGGAGATGAATAGCCCTATTAATTAATCAATATTGCCGGCCGTATGGCTATGTAATTCGAACATTGCCTACATAATTTGCAAGTTAATTTCGAATGTTCAGCATCCAGACCCTTCCTTTCTTCCCTTCGGGCAGTCAAGGGGGAATCAAACAGTTAGTTTAAGATCCATTTTAGCCCGTTTTATTAATATCCAGTATTTGTTTGTATCATTCATACTTTTAATGGCTCTTTATGCTGGACATTTGGAACCAGACACATCCTCTCAGTTTTAGACAATGTGTCATAAATTTTGTCTTGTTAGATTCATCTAGTATTTCTGTCAGACTAGTCTAAAACAAATGTACACAGCATAACACACCATGTATGACAATAACAGCGAATTCCTTTTTTTTACCCAAGTCGTAAACCTTTGATTCGAAGTAATTTTATTAAAAAGGTTTTCCCAAGTGCTTTAATTCTTTTAAGACAGTAAATATTTGCACCTATAGCTTATTTGATTGGCAAAATAATGGTCCCACAGCAGAACAATGACTGATTAAGAAAATTCACGTTGGACTCACAATTATGTGATAAAGACTCGAAATATAAAAAATCTTATCAACCTTCCGAGGAAACACACGATTGAAAAGCAAACTGAATATAACCACCAAATAAGAATATCATGTATGAAACTCTCACCTTTGGTACAAGGATAAACGTCGGCACTTCGGGAAATATGTAGACTTACCTTTATTACAGGAATTAAATATTGCTCATAGGAACAACGCCGTTAATTATTTTAATACGGATGAACAAAACCTTCTCAATTTTTTTAATACTGATTTATTTACGATAATATATTGATTGTCATTTTAGTTTACTTTCATTTAAAGACCACATCAATAAAAGCAAAATAAATTGCACATTGGAAAACAATCGATTGTTGAAATGATATATAAAGTTTATCAGTGCTGAAACAGTACAACGTACATCCGAATAAGTGAATTTGCCGAGGAAACGTTCCTTCAGAGTACTGTGATTTGCAAAGATAGTACAAAACTCCAAAGGAGGACTTGTTCTGAGTGATTTGATAATGAGACAAAACATGGAAAACTACATGCGTAAGTGAATTTAGGTAGGATATTTCCACAAATCAATCGATTTTTTCAGTCAAAATAATACACGAAGAAAGTACACACATTTGTCATAGACGTGTTACACAATTTTCGAATAACCCAACAGGTTCCATCAATATGATCACCATGTTTCAATCAGTTTCCAACGCTGCGGCTGGCTCGCTATAGCAAACCATTGAATCAGCCGTACTGAGGTAAAATCGAAACCTAAAGCAATTCAAAGAGGCTTATGCCTCAGAGCGGGCTTTTAACTAGCAATTAGGCAACATAACTGCGCAAAGACTTTCCAACAGATGGCCCACCAAGTACAACAGGTGGTCTGCACGTGCACTGTACGGATAATTCCAACCATTCAAATGGCGATCGGGATGCTGCTGATGAGAACTGTGCTGGATATCTGTCCAATTAACCTGAAGGAGCTTCCAAAATTCGATCTCAACATGCAAAGCCACCAGCATCCAGGAAGTTCATCCACAGCTACAAGTATTATTTTTGCCCTGTCCCATCACCCAGCAATCGATTATTATTGTGTCCCCTTCCGGGCCTTCACCCACCTAATTAATCACCAGGAAATCATCAATTAAGCTGTAACAATTCTCCCCAACTACATGCATAAGTACTTTACTGTACATGTAATTTTACTTTATCCATTCCATCACGTAGCACATACAACTCAGAAATGTCGATGTACATAAAACGGTTGCAATCGTATTCCGTCTGTGATAATGTTTAAGAGGAAACAAATACTACGAGACGCAGGGAAACCACAAAAACAAGCTTGTTGAGTGAGTATATCGTTATCAAGACCATCTCCTGCGAAGGTGGAATCCTTGCCCTCATCAAACTGGTCCAAACACATCCTGAGCAGGCCCACTGTTCGAAAAAAGGCTGGCTTGAATTAAGATCCGTTTGTTTGGTTTATAGGGCACAAATGTTTCTCCATATATTTCATTTGAAGACTTAATGTCGCTTATCCAACCAATTGGACATTTCCCTCAATTTATACCTCCCTCCCTCTATCAAGACACTGTAAAGGTACAGTGTTCTAGTAAAAAAAGAAGGAAAAGAGTGATAATTAATTGCAGACAAAGAAAACTGAGAAAGGAAATCATAAGGTTTGAACATTCATCGTGTGACCCACAGAATCTGATTATCAGGAAACAAACGCGAGCAAGAACTCCTCATCAGTATGACTCTGCAAAAAGGAGATTTAGAGGTGAGGTCCCGAGGATGTGGTGGTATACACCAATACTCAGTTCTCCCCCAGACCTCCAATCCCGGCCAAAATGGTTGGGACACGTCACAAGGCTACTCTCACAGCTCCCCCGGCCAAACGACATTATCTTGAGCGAGCAGGAGCACAGACCACACAGTCACTAATAACACTAACGGGGACGGGAACCACTGAGATTTGTGCTCGATTGCTAGTCAGAACAAATGAAAGCACAAAACAAGCCCTCTATTAAGAGGGGTATTCTGTCCTCAAAACCTGCCCCAAGTTTGCAACTTCATGTGTGCACACCTATACAGAAGGCAACCAGCTACAATGAGGCGAACAATTCGACAGCAATGTGTTCACAGATCGCGGCCATTCCCTCTTTACAGTGTACCCTCAGCTCACGCATGACTGCTGCCAAAGCCATGTTTCAATGAGTGAAATTGCTGCCCAGAGATAAGTTGCAAATGAATGGAAATTTACATGTTAGGTGTGCGGTTGACTGTGCTGTCCAAATGTACATTGATGTATATATGATTTCCAGGACAACATCCCTATTCCTTCTGAAGGCAGAAACTTGTGGTGAAGATGCAACACGCGATCTATCTCGAGCTCTCGCTGAAAGTGGGTTGAACATCTTGACAGTAAGGCCAATGCCATCCTAAATTGGGTCAAGGACCATCCCTCGATCTAATCTGACGCTTGATATGAAGGCTACGAGCTTGAGGCTACGTACCTTTCGAGGAGTGACTCACTGGAAGGAACTGCTAGATGGCAGAGTTGAAAGCATGGGCTCATTATCAGCAACACAACTGTCGAATATAAATACATGTATTTCGAATATCATCACTATACACGTGCCAATATCTACGACCCCGCCAGCGTCTACTACTACACCAGTAGCCCCTTTCACAGAAATGCCTAAGCGCTGGTACAAGTGCACGATCATTGTTCTGCCTATGAAAGTAAAGCAGGTACAGGTCTAGAACAAATTATTACAATACTACAGGTGGTGTACAAACGGCAACTGTGTTCTAATACCACCAAAGAACGAGAGCTTGTATTGTGTCCGGATACAAAGCTGCTGAACTGAAGCAGCTGCAGCTGCAGCTGAAACTAGTTAGCTATCAGCGTTTGAAGCAAGCTATGGGACGGAGAGAACCCCCTTTGTGTTGGTCACAGTTTTACCGGAGTCTCAGGAATTCAGACATCTAGGGGGATGTGTTAGGTAACAGTAGTCCAGAGTACCTATAGGGTTTGGACATGTATGGGGTACCCCTCCGTCCCATATCTTGCCAGGTATAGGGCTGCAAACTCAAGGAAGCAAGTTCAGAGACCCCAATTTACCAAAACATAATGGTAAATTTAATTCATATCCTCAGTTGTGGGAAAACTTATGAACCAGTATAGGTAAAAACATACTATGACATAATGTAATTACACATAGCATCTTACGCCGATTTTCTATAACGACAATCAATACTGTTGGCATTCTGTTCTTGAAAAAAGAAGATATAATATGCAATTTATGGCCCAGTACCGACTATATTGTAAACAAAGGAAAACGTCACATCACTGCATCATGGCAAGAATGTATTATTCACACTCTTAGTAAAATATCTATACTTAAAAGTTCCTGACACCATCAAAATATATAAAAATTTAACATTAAATCATTATTTCAGATATAGAGAAAATCAATTGTTATTCGAATATTATAATTTATTTCACCACAATGCTAAAATTCATATCACTTAGCCATAACCCAATACTACATATCTGAAATACTTGCCTTACAAATGTATTTGCGGATCCGAGTATCCAAGGTTTACATTAAAAGCTAAACTTGGCAACTTACTTTAATTCACGTACACTCATACCTGAACTGCATAGCACAAGATAATAAGTCTGCATGTGTTCGATGGTACAGCGGCAGGAAAGAGTGCATCCCAAACCAAACTGATATAACAGTTTCACATAGAATCGAAAATTACACAAATGCATGATTTAATTCAAAGTCTAATGTGTAGCAAATCAAACGTTACAGGTACACAGAATCTTTTCCCAAAAGTAAGAAATCACTGGCTTTTAATCATATTTAATCCAGAAATACCAGCACCAATCATCACCTCCTTTCCAAATATATCAACTTCTTTCCTCTCTCTTTTTTAGGCAGCTTAACATTTTTACATTATTTGTGAATGCCCACTTGAACAACTTCAGCAATTTTATCAATGCTCAAAATTCATTTTCTGACACTGTGTGTCTATGAGTTGTATACAGGATAACAATACCTACACCAAATTCAAACATTACTATAATTAATGTGTCAACAACAGCATTATTTTTCTCAATTTTGATGTTTTTAGAGGTCCAAGGCCACATGGCCACTACCCACATCACACGAATTATTCAGGACTGTACTGCTCCCTTGCAAATGCCAGGAGCAGATAAAATATAACAGGCAGCACATATTATTTAAAAGCAAAGGCCAGTTCATACTTCAGGTGAATGCGTAAGCAACGTGAATTTGACATCACAATCTGCACTGAAATTCCACCCGAGTTGAAGTCTGTTCGACTTTTACGAATTTGCAATGCAACCATTTAGTCTGATGTCACAAATTTGTGTTTGCGTTTGCTTTTGCGCCAAGTATGAGCCGGCCATTAGCTGATTAGGCTGTGAACAAAAAATATAAAAGCAGCAATCGTAGGTCTACGGCTAATGCTACGTGTATAACATAATGCAGAAGAGTAGCAGATGACTGGCAAGTACACTGCAGAACGCAAAGCAGAAAAGCAAACCAAAAGCAGCAATACACACTATGTAGGCCCCTATAGGAAAGCTAACAAATGACAGGCCCTCGTCTGTCTGACAACAGGTCCCAGGAAGGCAACATAATATAACTGCTAGAGGGAAATGTGCTTGTAATGATAGGGGGGCAGTTCCAGAAATCAGGCGTCCATTTACTGATGTGAAGGCTTGGTACTGAGCTGGTGGAACTGAATGAGACGTTGTGCTTGTTGTTGGCCTGTAATCATTGCAGCATGGACAGTTGAGTTGTACTCCTTGTGGCAACCCTCACCGGCAAACAGCAACACTGGGTACTGAAGACCAGAGGCACAGGAAAATAAAACGTCAGTTTTCACTGAGCACACAATCCATTCCGAGCAGAACAAAAGAGGGCTTTTATTTTTTTACTCACCACATAGGTGGGCCAAGAGGCTTGCAAGTACATACTCATTTGACGGGGTGCACTTCAGCTCGGGGCGGATAAGAATCAGGCCTGTGGTCAGGTACTTTAAAACCTCCGGCCCCAAGACTCTAGATTGTGCCACAAGTTGAACATCGACAAATATACACGGCATTGCCGTTGTCACAGTTCATTTCACGAGCTTTCACTTGTCTTATTAAGACTGAATGACTTGTGACAGACCTGCAGGCACTTGTGTTGGACACGGCTATAGTACACCTGTACAGTGCTCAGAGGAAATTGTACCTGTACATGTGTACAAATACATATGTACATTCCAAGGCTTGTTTGGCCCGCGGCGACTGGCTGCGGGGCAAACGTGTGAGCATGGCAGCCCCACACAAATCTTACCCTGGGAACACATTAAACAACACTGCAAATATCCATTCTGGAAAAAGTTGTCCCTCTCAGTCAAAAAATCAGTCGAGCAACTGATTTTTATCATTTCGAGTTCACTTCCCAGTCTGGGTACTGTAAAGCCAAATGACTGGCTGTAAATGTTAATACAACTTGATGTACATGTAGCTGTGATAAGCAATCTGTCTGTGTCAGTTGTCTGCCTTTGTCTGTTGGTGGACTTTGACTTGTCACGGTACCATGTACCAACCAGAATAACAAGGGTCAGGTTGGAGGAGAACAAACAACCACAAGACTGCCAGAGGTTTTGACGGCCCCGCAGCAGTGTACGGTCTACGGTACACTTTTGTTGTGTTTGCCTGAAGGCACCCAGCCCTTAAAATGCCCATTTCTTCTGTTCCACATTAACTTTTAAACCTCAAAACACCTTCGTGAGATTCTCTAGACACAAAAAAGGATTTTCTGAAAAATCCCAAAACAAGGACAAAATTCAGAAGAAGAAATCCTGAAATCAGGAAAATCTTGACAAATCTGACTGGTGGAATTTATGATCCTACTGTTTCTTCCTAGCCTGTTCCAGTGTTGCAGTCAAGATCAATTAAGACCTTCACAAGACCACACAAGACCAACACATCCAAGACCTCCAGTCTGGATTCCAGTCACAAGCTACATTGTATTCAAATGATGAACTGCAACAAAAGAATTCCTTTGTCATTGTTCACAATGTTGCTTGTGCATGGTCTTGTGATGGTCTCGACTTCAACACTGGCCTGTTCATAAAGTGTAGTCATGGGAAACGGAATGGAACTTTTGACTCTCAGTGACTATAGAATTTCCCTGTACATGTATATGTGCTTTACTGGTTGGGTGCTTGGTTTGGAGTGATGGTATCACTTGCAAGTGCTACATACAGTGTGGGATAGACACATAATAGACTAGTACATGTACATGTACCATGACCCACTAGCACTTACAGGTATGGGGCAATTAACAGTGTAGCCAACTTTTAAAATGTTAGAAACATGTAAGTAACTGTCATCCTGACTTACCTGTACATGGAAGAAAGTCAGGTTTATGAGCAGCAATTATTTTTCATACACGTACATGCAGCATCATATTACAGTATTTCAGCAAGTACATGTAAACACACAGGTGTCATGCATTTGTATGCCGTTGTATGTACATGCATGCACGTACAAGAATGTCTAAAAGGCCGAGTCCAGTCCCTCTCTCTGGTTTGGCTTTGTGTTCAAAGATACATTAAGACCACAAAGGGTGGGAGGGGAGGGGGGAAGAGATATGTCACCTGTGCCATGCCGGCATCTCCAGCCTGACTGCCCTGCCAAACTGGAGAAGAGAGCACATCAAACTCCTCTCCCGTCCCATGCATCGGAAGGGTCGAAGTGTACGACCCTCTGATGTACGGATTTTCGTGCCAGCGGGACACCATCACTTTAGTTGGCGCGGGAATTTCCGTCGGCAGGAACTTGTTCAAGATGTCAGTGCACATCTGTGGAATGCAAGATGCCTTTGACCAATCAGTATATAGTTCACAGAAACCCAGCCAATAAACCGGTACATGTACTAGATGTACAGAGATGAGGCAAATAATGACCCACTTGGGTATTCTTACACCTCATGCCTAAAATGAAGTGTGTTTGAGGTCTTTCTGAGGCGTATGCAAGGTCTGCCTATCACCGTAGCCTGTGTGTATGCGGACTCACACGAGTGCTTTGTTCCTGAATGACCTGGCAAGTTTGAATTGAAATGCCGAACTGGCTCATTCTGATGTAAATGCATACGATAACTCAGTGACTTCTACATACATGTTCTTACACATGTAAATTGCTACTACACATACATATAACTGTGTAGGGTAACGTACAGTTCAGGAATGGATTTTCCAATTCATTTAATGCATTATTAGATAGGGCTTAACCAATTCGAATAATTCACTAGTTGAATTTTCGACGTTCAATTTGCTTGAACATATGAGTATTCGGTCGAACCAACTGGCAGATTGTTGATGAACAAACATACAATATCAGTTGCAATAACACACACAATGTACATTATAATCAATTTAATAGCCTACATGTACATCTGAGATCCTCAGCCAAGATTTAAGAGACAAACAATACTTTTTGCCCTGTTGAAAATTTCTGTTCCTTTTACATTGTTTAATGAATAATTTACTTTTTGAATTTTTGTAAGATTTCTATCACTTATTCATTTGAATCTGCTTGAACAAAACCTCCATAGTGTAATTTTTCTCATATAAAACAAAGAAAATTACCCATTCCTTTTCATGAATTTTGCATTTGAATTAGGAAAATAATATTAGAATATTTGAATCAATTGAATATTTGGATTTTTGGATATTCCGCACAGCCCTACATGTAATATTACATGACATTAGGTAAAGAAGGAACTTGTATCAAAAAGAGCCTTAATGAAACAATATTCAATTGACAGTTCAAAAGTACGCAACATGTATACATACATTGTGTCTGTATTGTCAAATTTAAATGCAGCAGGAATACAAATGAACAGCAATGGATTGGATCCTAACAATCTCCTTATTATAAGCAGAATGTTGTATCAACAGTACTCTATTAACCAGTTAACAAGGTTTGACTGTAACTGCATGTTTATTAATGAGCCCCATAATCTCATTCCAAAACCACTGGTAGACTCCAGGGCATTATTTGCACATCTGTGTAGGCAAACATGTACATGTACATACATGTACACTGTAGGTTGCTTCCCAAGTTTTCCAACTACTAGTAAATGATACCACATCAAGACTAAATCTGACCTCCTTTGCTTCTGATGTTGCATCTTCATAGCCTGGGCACATTTTACAATGTACATGTACTAGGTCACTTGTCCTTACTATGTCATTTTTGAAGAAGTACAGGTACCGGTACTTGTACCTACCTTGGCAATATCTGCATCAGTGAACTTCTCCATTTCTACTGCTTCTGCACCAGAAATCCAACCGCACAGCACGTCATCATGGCCATCCACTGTGTCAAAACCTAGTAGGAACAGAAACACCGTCTAGGCATGAGGTTTGCTCACTCATGCTCCTGATGTGCCAACCATCACAAGATCAGACATGAGGCAGGACACATGACTGGTCCCAAGTTAAACCTGGGTGAAGGTTTATGTAGTTTGCAGTATCCCATCCAAAATGATCACAATTTACATGTACAGTATCAGTAGATGCTGGTATTCATCACTTATCGTTTTAAACTTTCAAGTTTTTTCAAAATTTCAAAACCACACTGCTCAAGCATCTTCCCAAACAACAAAAACCTGCAAATACAAGTAATGTATGCTACAAAGAACAAAAATCATTGGATGGAGACAAACCTGTAAATCTTCTCATTATTTGGTCGTGGAGGTCTTTCAGGTTTTCCTTGCTGCTGTCACTGGTTTGCACGGTAACTAGAGGTTCATCATGCCATGGGTCCTTCTCCCACAGAAACTGTATCCCCTCAACATCTCCTTCACTGAGGCGTGTCCAGAAAGGCTCCTCAAACTTGAGAAAGACTTTGTTAACTGTCCCAAAGTGCAGAGTGTCAATGGCCTTCTGTTTGTCTTCCGGAAGAGCGGGTCTGAACAGCCTGGCATGGTTCTCTTTGAGATAGCCGATGGATGAGGTAATAATCACATGATCAGCCACTATGTCCGGATGGTCTTTCACTCGTATTATGACAGGCTCCCTTCCGCAGCTTGCTTCATCAGTTGGCGACTTTTGTTTCCAGACTATCTGATCGACGGGCTTGTTGAATTTCACCGTATCCTTGGGAAGCCTTCCAAGCAACACGTCCAAGACTCCTTGGTATCCCTTCTCACCGAGACAGCAGTAGTAATCACCGGGAATGTCGATGTAAGAATTGTAATGAATCAGCGACAGGTCATATGCACTTTGGCAGGCGCAGTCTATGCACTCGGCTCGCAGACACCATTTCCAAAGAAGCTCACGGACGTGTCTCTCGTCAGCACTAACGTCTCCCTTTGAAATCAACTGCTCCATTCCTCTCACGAAGTACTCTCCCACACTGACACAGCCGTCATGGGTACTTTCATCTCTGCAGGCCGTGATGAGGTTGTCATACATCATGCGAACCTGTTTAACAATTGAACGAGAGGCAACGGAGCCGTCTTCAAGGAAGTAGATGTCTCCATCAGAGTTGGTGTTTATCCATGTTCTTTTGTCATTGGATTCGGCGCATGTGCTGCTACTGTCGTCACTGGAACTTTCACCATTTGAGGAGTCTTCCTCCTGTTCGGGAAAGGAAAAGTCAGTGATTCTTTTTTACTAGCCTTTGCCTTCAACAGTTACAAAGCTACACGTTTAAGCACTGCCTATAAACCTGTATTATGGGGCATCATCTTGATTTTCTACTGTTCAAAGCAATGTAACCAACTGAGGCTGGAAAAAAAGAGGCAGTTCCCTTTTCATCAATATGTGAAGTTGTATTACTACAGAATGGGCCTACTAGGGAACATGTACAAGTGCATGTGTTTCTATTGCATCAAGCATTTTGGAAGGAAATGTAAAAACGAGTTTGTTTACCAGTGCTGTTAAAAAAAAGTGGTTCTTGTAAATCTTCAACAAGCAAAAACTGTCTGTCCAAAGTTGTTTTTGCCTCTCCACAGGACAGTTGGACAGCTAGATAAGACACTGTAAGATGCATGCAAAACTGACGAACACAGATCTGGGCTGATTTTGATGCACATGGTCATGTAACTGAGTGCATGTGTTCTTTTCAATTCTAATGGAAATGCAAATTAGAATGCTTGCGAACACTGACATTAAGTTCCGGTGTTTGGAAATGGCATGTACTTATCTTGTTACAATGTAATACTTTCATCAGTTTAATCATGCCCTGGTAAAATTTCCTAAGGAGAAAAGTGCGACCAACAGTACACATTTACATACATTGTATCAATTTGTCATGTTTGTAGGCTACTCTTGAATGGGGCAGAACTGCACAAAACAGGTCCAGGCTAGTGCAATCACACTTTAAGAGGAAGACATGTACATGTGTACCTTAAGGAGTCCGTTCTCCCGAGCAAAGTGGTAGACTGGATTACCCTCTTCTCCATGTATCCAGTTGGCACCGAGTTCAATCTGCCGAGGCCCTACACATGAAACCAAAAGATGCACCAAACCAGGCAGTTAGGGTCATTAATGTTTTTCCATCATCTTCAAGGGTGTGTAGACTAGGAGGAGGAGGTGATGTTAGGGGTAAATGCTGACAATGCAAGCACATCTGGAAATCATCGCTGCTTTCCTTTACAGTCTGTACACTGTATAGGTTGGAGACTTGGAATGAATATTCTGGGAAAGAAAATGAAAAAATTCCCACCTGTGCAGAGACGGTAGTTCTGTTCAACTATGAGGAAATCAGCTGATCCGAGGAAAACCCGAATATATGGGGAAGATCTGATGAATAGGGTATACTTCATACATGTACATGTACAGTAGGTGTGCACACTCATGAAACCAATGGGGAAATGTACGCATGCCTCTTCTTATAGGGATCATCTTTATTAACACTGTACTTTGTACACTGCCTACCAGTGATGTAGTAGAGTACCAAACATTGAGTACTGAGTATTCTGAGTAAACACAGTGCTGAGTACAGGCCGAGTCTGAGTACTTTTTAATCGAGTCCTGGGAAAAATACAAGTTCCAGCTTTTCAGAGTCCGAGTATGAGCTGAGTACGAGTACTCGAACACTGGTGCCTACTGTACATCATGTACATGTACACATGTACATGTGTAATGGATGTGGGTCTCTTCCACAGAGCTCATCAGGGCCATATTTTTTGACAATGGGTCAAATTTGCAGATAAGTTGGCTGTATTTCATTACGCAAAATGCAAACTGTTCCAAGCATGTTTCAGTCCAACACTTTGGAAGTACCATATATGTACATGTACATGTAGATTCATGTACGGGAACTGTACATTAAAAAAACTGATTTCACAATTAATGGCAGATGTCGGTAATACTGGGTTGCTACACCATTTTCATGAATTTTACACATAGTGAGCAGTTGAGATTGCTGGCAAGGGTGTATAAATCCCTACATCAGGTTAGAAAAACCTGTGATTTACGGGCACTGTATGGGGATACCTATACAGTAGAACGCTCACTACAAGTGGGGCATGTACATGTAAATTAGCATTCCAAAAAAAAAAATCTATGCTGCCAGGCAAAGTACCGGTAAGTGCATGTACCTATCACTTGTTTTTATACTGAGTACCACAAGTGTCTTTGTTCTTATAGACTAATCTGATTAGACGCCACAACTGCGGTGGCACCGCACTCACACGCACATTCTTCAGCTTGATGCGCGCGTGCCTTTGGCAAATCACGACACCCTGTGGGCCGAAGAGGCATGTAACGCGCGTACCACCAGTCCACGAGCGTTGTGCCACCGCAGTAATGGTTTCTAATTCTGGTGGTTAAAGTATAGTTGAGTATGGAGAAATATTTTATTGGTGCATGTACAAAATATAATGCCTCGTCGGAGTCAGTGTCAAGACACTGTCTGATGTTCATACTGTATATACAACTGTGTGCAGTGTGCATGGTGCATCTATGTTTTGGTTTTTCCTATAAATGTCTATACATGTACCCACTGCAGTACAATTGGTTCAGTATGGTACTGCTCGGTCTGGTAGTGATGCGGTACTGTGAATTTCATTTGTCGCTGGGTTAATGTTCAGGGTGAAATCGTATCGCTCTTGTACATTTTCAGCACTGTTTTTCTACAGGTCATCACAATCTACCAGTACTATTTTTTATAGGCAAGGTCCTCTCAGCAGGGTCCGTTGAGAAGTTTTTTTTCTCTGGGTCAGTAGCCCAAAATAGGGTCGGATGGATATAAGATTCCCAATTTAAAAAGGGTGCTCTTAGTACCTGTATACATGCATGCACAAAGTACATATGACAAATTTTATACATAACTTTTGTACAGCATGCCTTCCTAATAATGATGCATGAGTACATGTACATGTGCATGATTGTCTGTCAGCTTTGCATGAATTTTATAAGTAACTATGACATATAAAAAGTACTGCCATGAATAAGACACTGACTGAGAAATACTTCTTCAAGAAAGGCCAGAAGAAAGTTGGAGTACATTTAATGCCAAAATGTCTGACATTTGACCTGAGTGTTTCTCTTTATCCATCACAAAGGTGTGAATGCGACCGCCTGGACGCTCCAAAGCTTCGAAGACCACCACATCAAACATGCCTGCCTCGGTCAGTTCGACAGCGGCAGCAAGGCCTGCCATCCCCGCCCCCACGACTACCACGCTCGGTCTGCACCTCTTTGTTGCCATACTTAGTGCAATGCTAGGCCTACGGACGCCACTAAGTTTTTGCTGCAGTTAGGCTGACCTGTTGTCCATCTGAAAGCAATAACATGACCTAAAAAGTCAAATGTAGCTGGGAAAATATTGAGATGCATGAACTCACTTAGAAAAACAGAATATTACGGACCAGTCCCATAGGGTTTGGGCTTGTACATGTACACGTATACATGACACAAGGTGCCATTATAGGCCTACTGTCAAGCGGTACCTCCTTCCAGTAAACGGACTCTGCAAATCACCCAACAAATACCAGTACACATGCATGCATAAATCTTGCGGGCTGGGGGTGTATATCCCCCACTTCTTTTCTTCTTTTTGGGGGAGGGGCTATTGAATCACTCCCCCCTCCCACTTTTGTGGTGCACAAAACTTAAAGTGGATTGTGAAGAATTTTCCAGACTTCCAATGACTAAAACGCACCAATATCACTTGAACAGGAATAAAAAAAGCCACAGGCATGACAGGCCCACATGTACATGTATGCCATTCTGGATACATGTCACCACAAATGAGCTGAAAGTAAGAATTTTCACAAAATTGAGATACTGGTATTTTTTAATTTAGCAAAAAAGAGAGCTTTCCAATAGAACTGTATGCAGTAAAGGGACTACGTGACATTCTGGCAGTGTTGAGTCTTTGTTTCCAACGTGATTGTTTTGAACAACTTTCTGACTGGGCACAAAAAATACTATCACTGAGTATCATCAAAATTGCTGAGAAAATGACATTTTTAAATACCTGCTCCTGCTAATTTTTTTTAAATTAAATAGGCCTAGACAGGTTATTCATTCTGATTATTACAAAACCCCAAATAAAACTTGACCTCCATAATAAGAAAAGTGGAGTGCGACTTTAATACGCTCAGGCAAGAGTTCCATTATTTATAGCTTATTATACTTGCGCCAGTACTTATTCCCGAAAATTGACCTATTTATCATGTTTATTACAGGCTACACCTCTCTCCTTACACCATGCCTACCCCCGGATTTCAGGCACAAAATCACGCCACTGCCAGTGATGAGGCCTACAACTTTTACAAGATCGTGACAATGTCACGTCAATAGACGCGCCAGAGTCGGAAATGTTCAAATGTAAGGCGATTCTGTATAGATTGTAAGACTAACTTATACCAGCAGTAAGCCTGCAGTACAGTACATGTACATGTAGGCCTTGACCTCGTGAATACTACTATTACTGGGCCAGTACCGTGCTAGTTCGTACCATGCTTACCCGCCAGTTCCACTTGAGCAAATGTGCAAAGACAGACACAGTGCCTCCACCGTACGCGTTTACATAGGCCACGCACATTTTTAGGTTGGCCTTTCCCCCCCATACGAAAGCCAAATCTTACCAATGAAGTATAACTTTTCAGCCTGATTTCACGGATTGCTAATTCGAAATAACAAATTACTTGAGCCTCCAGATGGCGCTGTTTTGCGTGGATTCAAATGTGATTCGAGGCTAGGCATGATGCGTCATACTTCTATTTCTAAGGGTGCGTTCCACCAAATGGTTGTATTTCTGCGCGCGAGCTCATAACTATTGTTAACAATGTGATCCCACGGGATTAATAAGACAGACCATAATCAGGAGGGATCATAGACATATTTCTATAAATCCCGAATTTGGGACTGGTAGTTTCCAGTTCGTGGTATTTCTTTCACAGAAAGCCAGTACGGGCGTTTCACAATAGTGCGCATCCAAGAGTTTGCAACGCGGTGGTCAATCACAATGCGCGAAATCTGTCGACCCAGCACGCATTTGGAAAGGGTCGACAAATTTCGCGCGTTGTGATTGGCCAACGCGTTGCCAACTCTTGGAGGCGCACTATCGCCCGTATTGCAGATCTATTTTGGATAGAGGCGGGGGCCGGGGCTACATTCAGAATGAGCGCTTAAGTCTGACTGCTATTTGGGTGTATCTTCCTTGAAAGGCGAATAAAAAAACTGTAGCTAACCCTCATGAAATTGAAGCGAAAAATGATCTTCTAGACATAATGTTGAATTTCCAGTGAAAAAACGGAGGCCAACCTCTTCACGAGAGTCAGCAGGCGGCGCTATTTCGGTCCGATTTTGCAATGTTTTCTATGGGCGCGTATTTGGTGTAGTGCAATCCTAAGGGTGAACGCCTAAGAATAAATTCCCATAGACGCCAATGATAAATCATTCTATTTTATAAGTTATTTTTGAAATGATCATATTTGCACAAGTGTTCATGCTGGACAGCAAAATGATGTTCGACATGTCGTCTTTCATTTTCCTTTCGATTTTTAGCGGGTTTACCGATGAATTGTTGAGAAATTCTCACCCACAGCAGACAACCCCTAAAATGACGGAAATTTCTCCGCAAGGAAAAGTAACCATTTTGAAAATGCATCCCTCTGCAAAATGGCTAAATAGTGCCACTTTCGGACCCAACTGCATCCAAATTGCCCAGAATTGGAAACCCAGAGTCCGGGCAGAGGTTCAGTGCCATATTCTTCGATTTCCCAATTCCATAGCTCTCAGGACTCTCTAATATAAAATATTTCGAGTTTATAACTTTTATTAATGAGCTCCGCGGACATATTTCTGGCCTATTTGCGTGGGTGCACTCCTGATCGCATATATCTCTGTGATTCCCATGGCCATGGGCACCTATATAGCTCCTGGCATGTCTCTGTTTGATGTGGAGAAAGAGCACCGTCTAGGGTTGCACTACACCAAATACGTGCCTGTAGAAAACAGTCCAAAATCAGATCATATATAGCGCCGCCTGTTGACTCTCAGGAAGAGGTACGTTGGTCTCCGCTTTTTCACTGGAAATTCAAGATTATGGCCAGAAGATCACTTTTATTTTAATGTTACTGGGGTTAGCAGATTTTTTTAAAAAAATTAATTCGCCCTTCCCGAGAATCCCCTCCCCCTAAATAGTAGTAAAACTATGCGCTTAGCTCTGAATGTAGCCACCCGCCTCTTTTAGACTCGCAATATGAAGCTTTTTGTGAAAGAAATACCCCAAACTGCAATCTACCAGTCCCAAATTTGGGATTTATAGAAATATTTCTATGATCCCTCCTGATTACGGTATGTCTTATTGTAAAAACAGCGTGAGCTTGTGCAGGGAACTACAACGATTTGGTGTAAAGCACCCCTAGGGGCTGTATGGATCAGTGCGTAATTCGTTATTTCAAATTAGTAATTCGTTATTTTGAATTAGCAATTCGTTATTTCGAATTAGGAATTCGTTATTTCGAATTAGGAATTCGTTATTTCGAATTAGCAATTCGTTATTTCGAATTAGCAATTCGTTTTTTTTCGTATTAGCAATTCGTTCTTACCAATAACTAGTTAGTTATTTCGAACGAGTAATCCCTTATTTCGAACGAGTAACTCGTTATTACGAATTAATAATTCGTTGTTTCGAATTAGCAGTTCGTTATTTCGAATTAGCAATTCGCTATTTCGAATTAGTAATTCGTTATTAAAAATTAGTAATTCGTTGTTTCGAATGAGTAATCCCTTATTTCGAATGAGTAATTTGTTATTTCGAATTAGCAATTCGTTATTACCAATTAGTAATTTGTTATTTCGAAATAGCCATTCGTTATTTCGAATTAGTAATTCGTTTTAAACAAAAAGTGTCAGGCTAAAGTTTCTACTTCATCGGCACGATTGGGCTTTCGGTCGACACTGCTCTGCTCGTGCATGCAACGAGCGACAAGCTCTACTCCCATGTTTGGCATAGAGAGGGCGCAACTTCATAGTAACGGACAAATGATTAGCTTAGCTCAGTTTGGGGATGTTAGACCGTTTTTTTTATTTTATTTTTTTTACTTTCCGGTAATAAAACCAAGGATTACTCAAAAAGATCGAAAGGGTATTCATTTGAAAACGGTAAATTATAAGAACCAGACTCTCATTCTACGATTTAATTCCGACCCCTCGATCTCGATCCTGTAGAGACTAGAGGACACAATGAGAAGAAGTTACCATTTTAATGGTGTTAGGAAAACCCCATCAGAAGAATATTCCCACCCACGAAATCAAGTAGTGACTGAAACACAATCCACATGTGGTCCGGGCTGGGAATCGAACCCGGGACCACAGAGGTGGAAAGCGAAGAAACAGCCATAACGACAACCTGACCTCCATTTTGCGGGAGACTCAATTTCAGTCGTATTGCTGTACTTGTTGATATGAATTTAAAACTATTAATGGGAAAGTACCAGGTGATAGGGGTCAGAATTAAATCATAGAATAGAGCCTGGTTCTTCTAACTTAACGTTTTCAAATGAAGACATTAAGTTTGCGAATTTGACTGAAATTTGGTCTGAATTTTTACTGAATAGCTGTCTATTGGCTTTGGGACCCCAATTTATTATGCATGCAGATTTAGTGCACATGAAATATTGGAACATAATAGCTACATTTCGGTTGGTCTTGCCCCAAGACTGATTTTACTGTTTTGGCCTGTACGCGTGCACCTACCACCGATACATTTGTTGCAAGTAAGCCTACAGAAGGCCTGCGTAGAGCGCTCTCCCAGAGGACATATTTGTTTATTAATTTAGATTTTATGACAATGAATGCACCAAAAGTTTACTCGAGTCTATCCTTGAGGAAGACTCTACTACCCAGCATGCCCCTCGTCAAACACGCATAAATTTCCTTCTGTGCTCGAGTTCGTACCAAAGGTCTGTCAGTTTCATTTAAAAACACGCCCTCTAGTTTGTCTCCACTCGGAACGTGCAACATGCGTGTCACCATTGATAATCAATGGTGACACGTGTCAATTATTGTTGGAAGCACACTGACGGGTGTGCGTGGCCTATCCGCTTGTGCAATTGGTTGGTCCCCTGAAGGCCTACAATAGCTGTGCGCTCAACCTCTTGCTACTTTCAAGGCCTAATGCTCTGGCAACGAATGCTCTTTTGGTGGGAACTACACTTTATCGGGTCACTGTTATGGACGACAGGAAAATGTGCTATCGTTGCATCGCAACGAGCCCCAAGCTGGACCAAAAGACAGCGCACTTTACTAGCAACGGAAGTTCCATTTGTCAGAACTGCAATTCTGTGGTTCACGAATGACTATGAAATGTATGCGTTATGGTGTCGACGCTACCAACAAAATGAGCACTCCCGACCAATATGGCTCTTTTCAACCGATGAGGGGGTGCGTCTGCTCGGGGTGGACTACTGTTGTGTGGACTGACTGCTTCATTTTCAGCCATTAACATACGCTGTGCATACAAGCGTCACTTCCTCTGAAAACCAGCATAGCAGGTTTGCGATTAGGAGCCAGATGACATCAGCGCTGTTTTTTTCAAGCGTTGGGCTCTTTTGTCCCTAACCACGTCGCACCTTGTGGTGGACGATGGTGGTGACGGTAGCTGTACCATGTACTGGCTTGGAGTTGCTGAGAAAGACTGACTTTAACTGACCTTAATTGCAAATTTCGTTCTAGGCCTTTTCACATTACATTTTTGGAGGAAGAAGGATCAAAGTTGTAATCGACTGTTCCTGGGCGATTATCTCTAACGGCCATCCTTCTCAATTAACATCGTCGAATTCCTAAAAAAAACTAAAATCATTAGATCATGACACTCTGGGGGTTTATACCTCCAGATTTCTTTTACCGGTTTGACGTTATAAGTTATCACTGACTATCGAGTTATGTCGGTTTCGGACGATGCAGAGTAGTAACGGCAGTTCCTGGTCAGAGTAGGGCCTTAACACCATACGAAATTCAACGCAAGCAGTGTTTCAACAAGACGAACAGGAAAATAACAATAAAGACAACACTGATCAAGGAAAGTAGTTCAATAAACACTATTGTTCATATTTCAAAACTTTTGTTGTGCCTTTGTACAAAAGAAAACAATATACGCTAGTCAGCAGTGTTATGAACACTCTCATAGTATTCCTTGTGCATAATTTATTTTATACCGGTACTATGACGCTACATTAAGGGCACTGACAACTTAATTGTGAAGAAAGCTATTGTGGAAACAAAAAAATAATTTTAAAAATGGAGCAGCAAAAAATGATTTCCTCTACCATGTACTATTAGGTTGTTTTCAGTGCTAACTCATCGTGAATTTGTGTTTTGTATTGTAGACCTGATAAAATAGTAATATAAGCCAATCCAAATGACAATCATAAATCAACGCTAACTTATCAACTTTTAAACATGTACAAAATACCATCGATAATCCTCTTATCTGTTGATAACTATAATGTCATCATATTCCTTCCACATCCCCTCCTCAAACAATCGCTATGGGACGTGTACACAAAGGGGTTGTAGTTTTACCTTTAGGGCCTACCGCTCGGCAGCACTACTGTGGATAAAAGTCCATAGTTTCTGGAGGCGTTTCTACCCGACAAGGTGTAAGCAAACGCTACAAATTGTTTTGCCAATGAGTATATGGAATAGAATCCCAGACACGCCCTGAAAATCCTCAGATCCGTTTGTCCCATTTATCTTTATTTTCGCTCTTACATTACAGTTGTTCGTTCTAAAGCCCAAATGCTAAAGAATCAAGGTGGTACATTAATAAGCGAGATAGTAATAATCAACCGCGCTTCGAACATCCACGTGCTTTCAAAAAATTGAGAGAGTTTGTCATTTTCCAACGAAATCTTCCGGATAACCTCATGCAGACGTATCTGACATACTGAGCAAAATGCATTAGATATTGGATATTAATGTCAATCCCCCTTTTGACAAGCTCATGAGGCTAAATGTTTTTCCCCACTATTTTTTCACCATCTTATACTCAGATTTCACCAAAAATGTTCCTGATCTGTGTTATACATTTAGATTTTGTACACTGCATTTAAGATGCCTTGGGCATTGCCTCCAAATTGATATACAATGGTTTCATGGGTTTTGACACAAAGGTCATACTTGGCATCAGGTCTGGTTCCCCTTCCACCCATTTTAGACGGAAACGTTTCAGGATTCTGGCCGTGAATACCTTCATCTCGTTCAGGGCGAACTGTTGACCAATGCAGTTCCTCGACCCTGCAGAGAAAGGCGAGTACGAGAAAGGGTCCATCTTGGCGACATTTTCCGGCAGGAAGCGAGAAGGCTTGTACTCCATGTGGTCGTCGCCCCAGACAGTCGGGTTGTGGTGGAGTTGATGTAAACAAATTCCAACCATGGTTCCCTGGGGGATTGTGACGCCGTCTACGGTGTAAGGAGCTGTCAGCGTACGACTGATCAAGGGTCCAGCGGGCATCATTCGCAAAGATTCCTTTATGGCCATGGTCATGTACTCGAGTCGGCTGAGGTCCTTTCTGTAAAGGAATGTTTAAGAGCAACAAAACACAATAAATATTATGTTTTGTACCCGCTCTAGTATGGAGTATTTTCATGTCGACGTAAAGCCAAGACAAGCCTTCCTTTAATGAAAACAAAACTTGAACCAAGAACCCAAAACAAACGTAAAACCCACAAAGCCAGAAAACAAAGACACATCAAACTATGTCTATATCAGAGTGACAAAAGATAGGACTTTTCTTAATTTCTAAAGTTTCGGACAAAAATGCACTTATGTGCTTATGTTCAGGACTGAAACATCGGGATTGAATTTGGAAATCATTGGATAATGGGTTAAATGTATTAATATATACAAGACAATGGAAGTTTTTAATTATTTTTGTAACTTTCCAAAACTATATACGCTCATTAAAAATTCAATCGGTTTTGGGTGCTTTTAATTTCTTGTTTCGTTTCTGATAATGTTAATGATGTATAAATTTTTTAATAACAATTCTGCTTTCTATATATGCAAGCATGTATAAAGACTTTGCTGTAATAGGTCAGTTTACGCCTTAGCGAATCAGAATGACGAGAACTATACTTACACAGTAATTCTTTCGGAGTCTCTTCCGGCAAGTATCTCTTCAACTTCTTCCCTGATTTTGGTCTGGTGTTCAGGATGCTTGGAAAGAAAGTAGAGAAACCAGGTCATAGAAGTAGCCGTGGTCTCGTGGCCGGCGAAAAGGAAAGTGTTGACCTCGTCTACCATCTCCTTTACGGTGAGTCCGCTGCCCTCTTCGTCTCTGGCCATGACGAGCGTGTCCAGGAAGTCACGGGGCTTGGTTATAGGGTCACCTGCGTCAGCCTACATAGGGGTGAATAGAAAGGACAGTGTGAAACATAACAGCATCCATAAGGACAACAACCCCCCCCAAAAAAAACCGAAAACCAAAAAGAAAGAAAGAAAAACACCTGCCGTATCACAAAAAAACTTGAAATCCCAGGTATCTTTCTTTACCCAAGACATCGCTATAAATAAGTTTACCTTGCAACACATTTGGACTCCAATTTCACACCTCTGAAGTTTTGGAATTATACGATAAGTGAAATGTTAAGATCAGCAGCCCAGCATGAAAGGTAGCAGAGATAATTGAATGCATTAAAAAGACATCCACAACATGTTCGCACACTCTGTTTTTTTATGTACCGTTTCATTTTGATCACTCAGGCCTCAAGCGGTAGCTTCAGTTTTGAAATTATGTTTTGAGCTCAACATGTACCTTTTCAGATAATTCTTTTTTTCGCTCCTCAACCAGTTTTCCGGCAAACTTGCGGAGGTACTGGAAAGCATTCCTGTACTCGGAATAGTTGGCACTCAGCCGAAAGATCCACGGGATGAGAAGAAGCCGATTGCTGTACTGGCGCAGTTGGATAAACTGCAACAAGGCTTCACATGCCGACAGGACATTAAAACCATTTTCCTGATCAATCTGCCTTATCTGAAATGTGGTGAAATCACAAGAAAAATGTCAAGTCAGATAATTACTTGGGTCCACAACTTCTATTTGTCACTTCAATATCTTGGATGGGAGGTGATTAAGGAAACTTTGTAAAATCCTCGAACTTTCTCTGAATAAGCCATTTGTGATTTAGATTTGAATAAAATCTGGTGCACTGAGTTACCTGACTGCACATAAACATAACAATTTGAATTCCCCTTACAAAAGACACTGTTGCTATACTTCGTGATTCGGGGCAAGCTTTTGCATAGCGACCGCCATCTCTGGAATGGACTGGCTCCTTTGTGCCCTTCTTATCCATTGAGAACAGTGTATTGTAGCAAGGCGTCTCTTATGTTACTAAGTAAAAGCTTACCCCGAATCACAAGGTGTACCAGCAGTGGTTTTAGTGAGGAGAGTTCAAGTTGTTATGTTCGCAACTCGCAAAAAGCTTATTGCTCCGGACTAACCGTGCCACTGCTTTACCTCGAATAAAACTGCATAATAATTTCGTTCAGTCACAAATAAAAACAATCCCTATATACTGTTTGATTTTCTACAGTAATCTGTGCATGTATCCCTTTCAGTGGATGCAGTATAAATTTGTATGAATACTAGAGTTGATGCAGTGGAAATTTAGTAATACAAGTCTTGTGCAACAACCGAATTAAGAAGTACCCTCTCACCTGACAACTTGATTTATAAGAGCAGGCTGTACGTAGAATAACATCGTATGTGCACAGCACAAGACCACTGTACATTTCAAATTGTTGACCCTCTACTGCAGCCTGGTTCATCTTTTCGAGGAGAACCTCCACGCAGTCGTTAGAAACAGGAGTGTAGGTACGAAGGATATCCAAGTTAAATGAGCGGGTCAGGAGGCGCCGGTTTCTCTTCCATTTGGCGCCTTCGGCAGTGCCCAGGCCCTCACCTACCCAATCGAAAAAGAGCTCGTAGAATTCAGATTTCTTGTTGCTCACTGTACCCATCAAAAGCGGCTTGATGGTTTCGGGATGGACCAGCATAGGCAATGGCGTTGGTCCTAGCCACAAGGTGTAGATACGGGGGAAGGCTGTTACGGTATCGATCAGCCATTTGTAGCCTGGGTCAAAGGGACCCTGCCTGTCGTGCCCATACAGCCAATGCGCCCCGGGTGGAGAGGGTAGCTTCTTCAGTGCATGTCGCTTGCTGATGGATTTCCGCACTGACACAAAAACCATCAATGAAACCAACACCAGAGCAAGGAAAACTACCTGCCACAACATTTTACGAATTGAAACTTTCACGACAAAATGATAAATAGCGGCTTGCTGATACAGTGAAGTTCAAAGCCAAAACATAGTTTTGCCAATATTCAGATCCAGTGTTGACGTCATACCTTCTGAGTTGGCGGTGTAGTCTACATTCCAAGTCGTCGCTGTTCATTTGGTTCACGAACTTGCCCCTGCATGGGGAGATCGAGGGCGAATCATGGCCAACAGTATCGAATATACAATACCGTCAAGGCATGTGGATAGATAGCAAGGTCTGGGCCATTCTGTAGAAGCCGAATCAGAGAGCATTATCGACTTGCAACATTACTATGAAAAATGCACACGCATTAAGTGTTATCTCAAGTTTATACCGACTTCTTGATGCGATGCAACTGTCCATGCAATTCAGGCAAAAACGTATATCGATTGCGGATGCAATTACTCTGTATGGAAGATAGCTGATCAACCAGTAGGCACATTTGATGAAGTTGTTCAATTTACAGCAAAAAAAAAAATGAGCAGGCCAAAGCTGAGAAAACAGCACATCAACACTGTCGGTCATCATCACTAAAGAAGTTCTCTAATTCGCTGATGGTGTTGTTCCTATTTGGGTTCGTGAACATGTAAATGGCAACGTCTTGGAATCGAGACTACACTGAAGTGGAAACTCACGCCCAAAATCAGGCCATGTTTTGTTTATCAATAGCTCCATGACAATGCCAGGGATGGTGTGACCTGGGGCTATACTTAAAAGCATATTATTTTTGCCTGATAAGATGCAAATATTGACTGCTTCGAGTCGTGTGGTATAACAGAACCCTCAAAGCGATCCATGGAGCATTCTAGATCTATTTCAGAATGCTGGAATGGCGTCTCGGAAAATTAGTTCTACTATGATACGTCGTTAGATAAGGAAGCCAATATTTGCTTTATAACACCCTTCCCAAAAGTAAGAATTAAGTGTTAACTAACTAATCTAAATACGTATGAATGTGTTGTGGCGCTCTTCTACCCTTATGCTATACCACAAGTGGTACTTTGAAAGTTCCTTAAATTCTTTTAATGCCACCTGTTCGTGTATGGTTATATAAGTCCACTGCCCATTATTCGTGACAGTTGGCTTCAGGGCGTGGGCTCATTCACATCATGATTTTCTGTAGTTATCATTTATTAAATTATTTTGGAAGCCGAGTTTACGTCTCGTGTGTTAGATGTTTAAATTTTCTTCGTCTCTCTAAATTCCGAGTCTAAGCCTCCATGACAATGAGCTAGCGCGGCGTCTATTAAAAGAAATGCGTTAAAATGGCCGCTATTTTTCCAACTACCTCTTCGAGAAAATAAAGCTTGAACTCACTTCGGAAGCGCTTCAGTGTATGCCCAACGTGCACACCAGGGCACAGTCAATATGCAAGCATTGGCATGCACGCTCGAGATTCCAGGGCTTGTAGAGGATGCGCTGGATAGGTCGGGGAGAGTAGCAGACTGGCCCAAAATAGCTGGCTTTGGGAATAGGTGCCCCTTCGGCCGTGGTGGATCTTTTGTCTGCATCTTGATTTGGCTTGACTTATACCCATTTCGATGCAGCGTTGTGGTGATGCAGTAGAGTGCTTGATCGAAATGTTCCTTGTCATGGACGTTGTAGGCCTATGCCCTACGAAAAAGGGCTCCCGCTGTTCACAGGAGACTTGATATTGCTTGGCGTGACATATGCAGCAAGGTATGAGACGGAGAGACCCCCCCTGCTTTGTGTTGGTCATTGTCTCGCAGGAATCTGGGGAATTCCTTTTAGACATCTTGGGGGGGGATGTGTTAAGTAACAATAGTCTGGAATGTGTATAGGGATTGGACATGTTGGGGGGTACCCGATCGGCCTCATTTCTTTGCTGGGTATATGGCGCGACGGAAGGAAGCGCTGAGGCTCAGGTATAAGTCTGTATGGCTGGGCTTCCTTGGAAAGGCGCCTCAGGAGGAAGAGGGCTCAAAGTGGTACTTGCTAATCCTGATTGATTATCTCTGCAGCTATCATGATCTTATTTTTCAGTTAAGATTTTTGAATTCTGAAAAGTTGTAAAAATCATAAAACCATGAAGACTCTGTGGTCTAAACACTTCAGGATTGTTCGGTTTGGGCACTGACATGCGAGTTATAGATCAGTCGGTTTAGGACTAGAGGCATGTGAGAAAACAACGCCCTGGATAGAGTAATGCTCAAACACCATGGCGGATTGGACGCAGTGTTCCAACAGGACAAACTGAAAAATAGCATAAAGACGCAAACGATAAAAGACTAGCAGTGCAAAAAAGACTATTAGTTTTAAAATGGTTTACCAGTGCGTTAGATACAAAAGGGAACAACAAATCATATTGTCACCCGTGTTGGTCACTCTCACATTATCTCTGTGGTTATTGCATTCTAATATGTTTCATTGAGGGCAATGTCGACTTAATTCTGAAGAGGAAAAATATTGCTGACTACAAAAAGAACAAAAGAGACAAATTGGCAATTACTGACAGAGAAAAGTAATGGCTTTCTCTGCCATTTCCTTAAGCAGAATGGTCCCGTTTTTTACTTTAACTCAATGCGAAAACCGCATATACATTGTATTATTTGATTAATTAGACCAGATAAAACAGTGACTTTTAACCGTATCCAAATAACAATCATACATCAACTTTTAAATGTCATGTCTTACATATCTACCAAACTACATCCCGTAATCCCTTTATCTATCATTTGAGGCATCATATTATCTCCACAATACTACCGCATTCCATCTCCCAACAATCGCGACGGGACGTGGTGTCACCTACACTGCTCAGTGTGGACAAAAGTCTTACTAGCTACCTTAGTTGTAGGATAATATCTTACAAAATCTTAGTAGGCACTACAAAGCATTACATCGTTCCAATGGGTAGGTGGAGTAGAATCCTTGAAACCTGTTTAGAATCCCTGAAACCGTTTCTTCCATTTATCATTATTTTCGATCTAACATCAGGTTTTTTTTCTTAATTTTAAAAACCAAATGCTAAACTATCAATGGGCACATTAGTGAGCGAGACTGTGACAACGAATCACAAGCTTCAAACATCCCAATGCTTGAGCAAATTAAAGAAATTAATTGAAAAAATTATAACAAAAAAACAGAATGGATCATTTTCCAACGTTGTTTTTAGTGGAAGATTTTTCCAGATAAATTAATGAAGACATTTCAAACATCTTGAGAAATGTACATTAGATACTGGATGTTGAAAATGCGGGCGATTCACAATAGTGCGCCTAAAAGAGTTTGCAACGCATTGGCCCAATGCGCGACGTCAGCCAATCCAATGCGCGTTTGAAAGGGGTTCTTAGATTTCGCGCTTTGTGATTGGCCAACGCGTTGCAAACTACTTCTTGGAGGCCCACTTTGGTGAATCGCCTGAATTGATACTAATTCCCCCTCGTTTTGTTTTGCCAGGCAATAGGCGGAGTTTGGTTGTTTTTGCCTTACTAATTTGTTACCAGCCTCTGCTTTTATTTTCCCTAAATGCTCTTGCTTTGTGCTTTCCTCCAGATGCCCTCCATTTAAGAGGTATTGTGGATTGCTTCCAAATCGATATACAATGGTTTCATGGGTTTTGACACAAACGTCATGATGGGAATCAGGTCTGGTTCCCCTTCCACCCATTTCAGACGGAAACGTCTCAGGATTCTGGCCGTGAATACCTTCATCTCGTTCAGGGCGAACTGTTGAGCAATGCAGTTCCTCGCCCCGGCAGAGAAAGGTGAGTAAGAGAAAGGGTCCATCTTGGCGACATTTTCCGGCAGGAAGCGAGAAGGCTTGTACTCCATGTGGTCGTCGCCCCAGACGGTCGGGTTGTGGTGAAGCTGATGTAAACAAATTCCAACGGTTGTGCCTTCTGGGATTGTGACGCCATCTACGGTGTAAGGAGTTGTCAGCTTACGACCCATCACGGGTCCAGCGGTTATCATTCGCATAGACTCCTTTATGGCCATGGTCATGTACTCGAAACGGCTCAGGTCCTTACTGTAAAGGAATGTTTTAAAGCAACAAGAAAATAAGAAACGCGAAGTTTTGTATCTGCTCCAGTCTTGAGTACTTTCATGTGGACACAAAGCTGCCGAGACACTAAGCCAAAACAAGCCTTGTTTAGCCGACTTGAGCCAGGATGCCCAAAACAAACCATTTAAAACTCCCCAAGCCCCCCCCAAAGACACGTGACTGAGGACTTTTCCACATTTGTAGTTTCGAGGAACAAATACACCAACCAAATACGCGTTTTGCTCCATACAAAGTAAACATCAAGATAGGGTTTGGAAATCATTGGTTTATTAATGAATAAAAATTATTTACTGTGTACAAGAGAATGGGATTTAATTTTTTTTCCTAAATTCTCCAAATCTATATATTAATCTTTAAAATGTAACTCGGTTTTGGGTATATTTAATATCTTGTCTGGCTTAGGATAAAATTATTGATGTATAAATGTTAATCACAGTGATGCTTGTGATTCTACTTTTTATATTTTTATTCATTTTTGTAGCCTAAGGTCCCAAGGTCATCGATTACTGATTGGCCTATACCCTGGTAAAACAAAACAAATATCAAACGAATTTCAAAATAATTGATAAAACGAATCAACAAAGTATATGGGTTTTGCACTGAAATGTAATATTCTCTAGATATTCATAGGATTACGTAATCGTGACGTTTCTTCATGTACATACGAAGTTCAAAGTGGATTTGACTTAAAATTTTGTGTGCATGACTGAACAACGCAGTGCTTGAACTCCTAAACCCTTGTCCCGTGGTCTACTTTAACCTTTACACTCTACAAGCATGTACTGAGACTTTGCTGTAATAGATCAATTAACGCCTTAGCGAATCAGAATGACGAGAACTATACTTACACAGTAATTCTTTCGGAGTCTCTTGCGGCAAGTACCTCGTCCACCTCTTCCCTGATTTTGGTTTGGTGTTCAGGATGCTTAGATAGATAGTACAGCAACCACGTCATGGAAGTAGCCGTGGTCTCGTGGCCGGCAAACAGGAAATTGTTGACCTCGTCTACCATCTCCTTCACGGTGAGTCCGGTGCCATCTTCATCTCTGGCCATGATGAGCGTGTCCAGGAAATCACGGGGCTTGGTTAATGGGACAGCAGCAGCAGCCTACACCAGGAGTAGAAATACTTAGGACATAACTGACAATGTGAAACAAAACAGCATCAAATGGGGAAAAGAACAAAGAAATGCCGGTGCCATATCAAATTTGAAGTTCCATGAAAACAGGTATACCAATTGAATCTGAATTGAAGCTGAATTTTGGAGTTACCACGGAGGTACGATATTTAGATCGAAAGCCTAGCATGGAAAGTGTCAGTGACAAGACGACAGGCATCAGGAAAGAAAATAATATACCTTTTCAGATATTTCTTTCTGTCGCTCCTTGACCAGTTTTCTGGCGAATTTGTGGAGGTACTGGAAAGCATCCCTGTACTCAGCGTAGTTGGCACTCAGCCGAAAGATCCACGGGATGAGAAGAAGCCTATTGCCGTACTGGCGCATTTGGATGAACCGTATCAAGGTTTCACATGCCGATAGAACATCAATCCCATTTTCCTGCTCAATCTTCGAGATCTAGAATTGTGTGAAATTACAAGAAACAAATATTGAACACCAGTTAACGACTTGGGTACGTAGTGGCTATTTGTCAGTAAAATATTCGTCATTAGGACAGGTTTTAAGTAACTTTGTAAACTGTGGAACTCTCCCTATCTTCTCCGAGATAACCGTGCAACCGATTTCACGTGATTGCAACTGTTTCATTCACCTTGTATAAACAACAATACCCTCATAGTTTGAATTTCTATCTTAAAAGATGCAAGCATCAATTTCTTCCAGTAGTAGTTTCAAATGCAGTGTAGAAAAGAGATTCCCGACAAAATGGCCCACTCCAGAGTACAATCTCACCTGGCAATTTGATTTGTAAGAGCAGGCAGTGCGGAGAATAACATCATAGGTGCAAAGCACAAGACCATGGTACATTTCAAACTTTTGACATTCGCCAGTAGCTTGGTTCATCTTTTCAAGCAACACCTCCACGCAGTCGTTGAAAACAGGAGTGTAGGTGCGCAGGACATCCAAGTTGAATGAGCGGGTCAGGAGGCGCCGGTTCCTCTTCCATTTGGCGCCTCTTGCAATGCCCAGGCCCCCGCCTAACCAATCACTAAAGAGGTCGTAGAATTCAGATTTCTTGTTGCTCACAGTACCCATCAAAAGCGGCTTGATGGTTTCGGGATGGACCAGCATAGGCATGGGCGTTAATCCTTGCCACAAGGTGTAGACACGGGGGAAGGCTGCCACGGTGTCAATCAGCCACTTGTAGCCCGGGTCAAAGGGACCCTGCTTGTTATGGCCATGCAGCCAATGCGCACCAGGTGGAGAGGGTAGCTTCTTCAGGGCATTCCGCGTGCTTATGGCCTTCCAGAGAGACACAAGAAACTTCAACAAAGCCCATGCCAGAATCATGCAAAATAACCGCCACAACATTGTAACTGGGAATCTGTTCAAGTCAAAGCTGCGGTGAAAGGCTATGCGACCACGCAGTGTAGTGTCCGCTCAAAATACATTACTTCTCCCATCACAGGTATACACGTACATGTACATCCACGATAACCACCGTCACTTCACCCGTCCTTGAGTCCGAAATCTGCAAGTGGTGTATTGTGCTTTTAGTTCGGGAACAACAATGAACACCCTTGACAGCTACAGATGCCGTACCAATGGGGTCACGCAGCACCAGGGCAAGGTTGAACAGAGTTCAATAATCATGACTGTGTCATTCCTGAATGCCATTTACAAACCGTGACCTGACCGCGCGCGTCCGGAATGCTTGAAAGGTATATGTAAACCACTGGAAAACAAACAGGTTTGCACAAGCTGGGAGAGCCCATTCGTCTTTGTTATTGCAGTTTGCAGTCATTTTGAACAGACATTCTGAGGCCATCAGCTGGGGGTGTACTCATTTGGGGGGGGGGTAAACAAGTGGTCTGTGTAATTGACCCCTTTTACCCCCAGCGCAGTCCAAAGGGCATACGAAACAACCGACAATACCATAGCTTGCTGTCTCATGCATACGCTTATCGCACAATCCTGCAAACAGCTTGTGTCAGCAATTATGATTCAAGCCGAACTTGAATGAGGCTACGGCCTTACTATAGGGGATAATAATGCACGAATGCAATTTTTGACCATCAGCTTTTGCAGGATTCGCACTTGAACGCTGGGTAAAGCCACTTTGTATTAACAGCCATCTGGTGAAAAATACCAACTTAATTTTGCTCTCAATATACCGGAGTAGTAAAGCCCGTCTAACCATGGTCGATAATAAGTAATTTTGACGGGCTCTCGACCAATCAGAGGGCCGGATTTAGCCCCACGTGACCCTCAACATAAAATGAGGAACGGTATTGTTGGTAAACTCCTTAAGCCTTTCAATACTTGGGTAACAGCATAGTCTCATCAAGATGCTTCAGTGCTATGGAACATCACTATGACTGGTAAATATTCACCAGTTGCCAATTTTCATTTGGCTGGAAGTTTCGATTTTTGCCTCAATGTGCAAAACGAACACTTTTCTAACAAAGTTGTGGTTAGGTCTGTAAGTGTAGTATTAGTTTACCAACTTTCAAGAACTTCAGTGTTTTATTAAGATAATCAGAGATGTTTTTGAGTGCGCCACGTCAGGAAACAATTAGGGTTAATCAAATTAACTGAGGCTCCATGAACCGCCACTCTTAACACTGGATCCTGGTTGTCGTTACCCTTCGCTGAGATAATGTGCCCCGGATGCGAATAGACCTCTTCACTCATTCATAATTATGCATGCGTGCGCACAAATGGCCTTGGCGGTAAGAAGTGTGAGCAGGCCCTTGAAAACGTTCAAAGGTGAGACTTCGATGATCATTTTCTCTCAGGTTGTCTGACATTTTTGTACATTTTCAATGGCCCGGTCACACTTCTTGCCGCCAAGGCCATTTGTGCGCATGAGAAAATGATCACGAATTTATTAGTAAAGAGGTCTTTTTCTTTTTTCTCAAACGGTTGTGGTTTCCTGTCTTGTAACTGGTCTATTAAATGTATATCTAATGCATCGTTAATGAGTGACAAGCCAAACTTATGGTAAGAATGTTACTTATTATCTACATCGTATTATAATAAACCCAGTTGCACAAAATTTGAAACGAATTCTGAAAAGGTGTTTTTACCAAAGTAAACACGATCAGAGTTTGAAAGACAATACGTCCACAGTCTTTCCCATTTTAAAACAATTTCTCCAGTTTATCCAAACAAATGAAAAAGTGCCGTTATTATTAATTTAAGACCCGATAAAAACGTCGTTAGTATTTTCAAGTTATTGCGAATTGAATATTTTGCACGAGAATCATTTGTCTGTATTAGTGCGAGTATACGTTTAGGTGCGTTGATAGTTTATGTCCAGTACATGTACATGAACGCGGACATGAACACACATACAGAGAGCCAAAATTAAAATTGATCAGACCAACAAAGGACAATTTGCAATAGTTTAAACATAACATGCTAACCTTTTCCAAACACTCTTTCAATTATTAAGATATGCAGAATGTGTGGTAAAATGGAAACCAATTCAACTTTTCGAGTTTAACATACCCTTTTTTACGTTCGGAAATATGACGTATTTTTCACTCCATTTCCTCCCAAATGTCGCTTATGATAAACAAAAAACTCATCACAAAAAGGAAATCTGAAGCCTGATTATATTTTCCTGGAAAAAATTCAGCAAACTTTTACAAAACGCGGAAGATCTCCGCAGATGAATTTGATGTAGTCGTATGCAGGCTGGCGTCACCATTTTAACAAGCAACACTGACCACAACTTTGCCGAATTTTGGCGCATGCTTTACTGAAGCTTTTCATGTCACTTCAAAAGGCCAAGAGCAAACGGAATGCCCTGAAGAAGTTACCCTCTTCACCCGGGGCGCGTATGATCTCGATGGAGCCGACAGTTTCGAGAGAGGGTGCCCTCTGTGTCGTGCTTTATTCGCATTCTGCCAAAGGCTTTAAAGAATGGTTATATAATAAGGCATAAGGGTATTACATTTACCCGGGGTTTGGCAGCAGATATGTGGGTTGGTTGGGAGTACTCCCAGCATGAAATCCTCTGTCTCAAGTTGGATTCCTCTCCGTTGATTTTACAACTCTTTTTTAAAACTTGTATATAACGTTTTCTGATCAATTTTTAGTTGTCTCAAACTTGATTTGTTTGTATTTTGTTAAAAATAAATAATGTTGTCCATCCGAGGAAAGAAGTGTCGGAACGATGTCCGACGTCGCCTGCCCCAAAACCCACAGTAAAGTGATCGAGTGCGCGTGCGCTAACTCTCAACTAAGTGGTGCACCGGCATGGGAGTGAACATCATCAGCGACAAGCGTTTTCTTGCACGCGTTCTGCGTGTACGCAAAGACCATACATGCTGGAGTGAAGTAGTTACGCGTACTCAGCGTGCTCTCCACCAAACGCGCATATTTTTGCGCGTCTCATGGCGCGCCTAAGCGGTGAGTACCAAAAAAAAAAAAGCCCTAGCTCTCTTGTTCGCTCGGAGTGGATTGTGCAATGAGCCAGATCGTGAGCCAGTAGCTCCCGAGTTTGCACTTGGCCGTGTTCATAGTTTTCTACAGAAATTATTCTTTTTGGCTAAAAGCAAAAATAGCGAATGTCAAGTAACTGCCTTCGGCCATAAAAATACAAAATTTATGGGTGAGGTGTTATAATATCAAATACTCACCAATACTAAATATGCCAAATGTTTTTCCTTCAATACAGTGTTTCCTCTTGTTTTTAGACTTCTGATGATTTTCAATTCCAGTTCTACAGGTTATGGGCTTTGTTTGGAACATATTTGACCATGTTGGGCATTATTAAGATATGTATTATATACTACGATAGAATTTAAGATTGCACTATGCAATGTCTGGATAGTGATGTAACTTTAAACGGGCAAATGTTAAGTGCACGCACATTCACTAAAATTTATGATTTTGACCGTAGTGGGGTAAATGAGCCATAATTGGCATAAGGTAGTGTACCATATTCACAATAACATGTTTTCGATGGTGGTCCCTTATTTTCCCAATCTTATTAATGGTGCATAGGCCAGTACCGCAATAACTGAGTTTTGTGTCTTCACAAAGAGATGCAACCATGCGACCTCGCCGTACCACAACGCACACCAGCGTGCTTCAGCGTGCCCTTAACTTCCACAAAACGTGCCCATAACTTACTCGAAGTACGCCAGCGTAGTCACCAAATTTGTCATACGTCGGCACACGCTAGCTGGCTAAATCGTCAAGGTGTGACAGTTGATGTGACAGTTGATAACAGTTCTTGTAGTTTTAGAAGGCGGCTTGCTGGTCTGCACTGAGGGCCCTCCTGTATGCTTTTTGTCTATCTTGGTCTTCATTCATACTGTAACGTCTCTCTTGGGGTAGGGAGTCGTTATCATAAAAGAGTGAGAGTCATTGGACTGACTTATACACACACTACTGTTTTATTCCGAAGAATTATTCACATCTTCAACATATTTACAATGAACAACTGCTACTAGTAAGGCTGGATATTACTCAAGTACTGCTCGTCCTAATCTGAGCCATTTATTCGGGAGTGACACTGATAGAGAGGTTGTTCATATCGGCGCTATACACACACGAAAGGTCAGGGAGTTGTTCCTTCAAAACTGCCCGTTCGGGAATATTCAGTGCTGATCGATAGAGCTGGTCACTTTATATAGACTTTTGGGGCCGCGTCTTAGCCAATGGGAGCACTGGATTAGGGTGGCTATGAATAATTCATACTGTAGAAAGTCTATGGAAGAAAAGTCTATGGGGATTTTGTACACATTTGGTTCTCACTGACTTATGGAGAGCGATAAGGTCCGAGACGTTTGGGAGCGGGAAGGTGAAAGGCTGTTCA